ATTTGATGAATATACATATATTCACTTGCTTAGTGTACCCGCGTTCTTAATCTACACAAGAAATGACGCTTTTCAAAAGCAAATGAGAACATAAACTACGTATTGTTTTATGTTTTTCTGGAACGCTTGAAGCTCTCTCCGAGTGCTTTCGAGTGCTCTTTATACACGTATTCTCAACTTTATATTCTGATATTTCGATTTGGACTGATGGGCAAATGCCACTAATCGTCACACCACCTTAGAATAAGGAGGACCTTAAAATTGTTGTTAAAAAAACCTTAAAAATGTTCTTCTAAAGTTTAAACTGTCGCAAGATTGACTTTAACCTGTATGGCACGTACGACATCTACAGCTAGCAAACCATTTAAATACTGATTACAAACGTTTGCTTATTGTTATTTAATTTTTGGTTATTTCTCTTGGTTGGATTAAAGTTCATTAGCAGTTTGATTGATTTATGGACCAATCGCATTCCTAGCCCGAGTTACGACTATGAATCTACTAGACATTTATGTTGTCTGCCTATCAATGTCCACTTTGTAGATATTTCTATCACTTAGAAGTGAATTATGTTTAGAATTATGTTTTCAACAATTATGTTGTTTCCCGTTTGGATATAACCGGTCAAATAATTTGAATCTATTTAAGTCATCTATTACGTCTGCATCGTGACGTGTGACGTGTGCCATGTGCAATAGAGTTCTTTCATAATCAACCTGCATTCCAAATTTCATTAAAATCCCTTTAAGCCGTTGCGGCCTAAAAAATTTCGTATTGTTAGAGTTGTTCTATATTTCACTACGTGTTATGCATCACTGCAAGAAAAGCAATCCGATTACATGGATTGTTTTTCTTTTGAATTTTAATTCTTTTTCAGCTGATCTCAATTCTATTTTAGCTAATAAGCAGAAAGCGCTTCCACTTAAAGAGTACGGGTGGCGCAATCCGTGCCACCTTGGATTTCCTTTCGTCCGCCTCGCTCCACTTGGGAACGGCTCTTTTCGGACCATCGCCGTTGCTGCATTCGTTTGGACGGCTCGTTCCCATTGAATAATCGAGTGCTCTCAGCAGGGACGCTATCAGAACTTGAACATTTTACTTCGCCGTCATAATATTTTCCAACTTGAAAAGGAATTGAGAGCTTTTCATACGGCTGCGAAATATTTTATCCATTCAATTTGTTAATGATTGTATGGGTGTGTGGGTGTCGTGTGTCTCTTATGTGCGCATTTGAATTTTTACTTGACGCACGAAAAAATTATTCCCATAGACAAACGTTTGTACTTATGTAACTAAAAGACAAAGTGTACCGTTGGTAAGACGGTTTGCTTACGAGCTAAAACATCTTAATCAAGCAAAGTGCGAGGAGCTTTTATCGCAAAAGTTACTCTACTTATACTTCCTCAGCACTCACGAACTTCAAGTAGTGAGATATGTAAATGTTTCCAACAAATCACGTGGCGAAGTAAACTGAAAACCGGGGCCGTAAATCACAACAATATATGCCCTACCCGAATGTGCTGCAGCCCGCACGACACTACAGACGCGGAATGCTAAATACTATATTGTGCCTTAACCGCAATCCTTGTTTTTGCCCGATTTGGGTTACTTGGCGGAAACAATTAGTTTCACCAAACAGTCACTTTAGTGCCGTGAAAAGAAAAGACGTCTTTAGAATTAAAACTATTGTGTAATCAATATTCAATTCAATATTCTGGTGGCAGTTCCCTTAAGTTTATGATTTGCAATGGTACTCTAAGCTACTGCTTTAATCAAACTTATAATTAAGAAACTTAGATCGATGTCTAAAAAACTCAATTCGTGAATTTCCTCGTTAATTAAGTGTATTATTTTCGCATTCAAGCTTTAGAAAGAAGCAATGGTTGTTACCAAATTACATCTAATGTTATTAATGATAATTACTTCAGCCATTTAATATAGCTTAAATATTCATTACGACAAGTGCTTAATCTTCAAATTTATTTTTGTGATTATTGTTTCTGGACAATTTAACAACGAAATTTTTCGGTTAGGCCTTTAAGTTTTCTTTTACTTGGTAATTTCTGGTAAAGGTAGATTTAATTATGTACTACAACGACAATTTGTAATTTTGTTTAATATTAATAATTAAATTTTTTTGTTAATTTCGTATACCTATTTACTCAATATGTATGAACTCTTTTAAATGATTAATACTTCTGAGTTTACTATTGGTGATGCCTTTATCGAAATGTTTGTAAGGAAATGTGACATTTACAATTATTCAAACGCAAGAATGGAAAACATAGGTAATTGAAGTTCTGTAGAAACGTGTAATTTACTCAAAATTATTATTTTTTTTAGCAAAAGAAAATTTCACGACAACAACTGAGATGTAGCATTAGATATACTACATTTCAGTTGTTGTGAAATTTTCGTGAAAGAAAGCTGAATATTTACATTTATCTACATAAGTTTAAATATATCTTGATTGAATTTCAGAACTTAATACTTCAAATTGTTTATTTAATAAATGTTATTCCACAAATTAAGACAGCAACTTAGCTAAAAGTTATCATTAAAATTTTGGGATAAATTTTAAAGTTACTTGGAAAATAAATGTGCTTAGGCTATAATACTTTAACCAATAGTGGCCCGTGGTCTTGCAACAGATTGATAGGTAATTGAGAGAGATAGTTCTCATATATAAGAGAATTTAGTCACTTGCCAAATACGAGAAATTCTTAAATTATTTAAATTAATTTGAAGAAGGAAGGATCTTTTCTTGTTACGTCTCAGTTATTATCTGTATTGTTTCTTATTTAAATAAACAAATATTATATATTTTTTTAGTTTATTAGGTCTGCTTAACCGAATACAATCTAGCATGATAACAAAAGAAATATACACAGAAAAAAAATGATTGCATTCTATACATAGCAAACACAGCATACACAATGAGACTCAATATAACATTAGGTACAAAGGTTTATCTACTGACCACTATTATTAAAAACAATGAGTAAAAACTATTATTTTTTTTGTATATAAAACCAAATAAAACATTATACTTAAATAATTAAATTAATGAGTAAACTATTTAATACTTTAATGATATTAAAGGACCGAAAAAAACCTAGACACTTTCTTTTTTGTAGAGGCCAAAGAACCAGTTAATATCAAATCTAATAGTATTACATAGTGAAGGCATGCGATACATAGGAGAGTTCTGGCCGAGTTTCGTTCTACTATAAGGCAAAATAAACGTTTTCCTATTATGAATACGACAACCTGCACGCGGGACCGAAAAATATAAACGCTCTAATAACTTTGTGGATTCTATAATGCCATGAATTAATTTATAGACAAACATTATGTCAGCAGCTTTCCTGCGTGACGAAAGGGGTACAAGTCCAAAATGTGACAAACGAAACAAACGACTTAAATAATCGACATGTGCGATTATTGTAACACAGGTGGTATAAAAAACGTTTCTGGATACGCTCTATTCGATCGGAATAAGTAATGTAATGAGGACTCCATACATTGATACAATATTCCAATTTACTCCGCACGAGAGAATTATATTTTATTTTTAGAAATATATTTTTAGTTGCCTTGGATAATTTAAATCTGCACTTCTTGCAAAAGCCATCATCAGACTTTTAATAGTTTTTTGAGAAGTTATGTTTGAGCAAAGAGCCTTGGTCTATTTCTGTGATCGAATAAATCGCGTGAGTCCCGTGACCCCTGAGCTATTACTCAATGCATTTCGTACTGTAGGCGGCTGCCTGCGCACGGTGTCGATCGGATATTGCGCTCTTCTGGCGTCCTCGCGTTCGCTTAATGCGTTTCCGATGTGACGCAAATGGGATGTTCGGAACGCTCGCGCGCGATCTTGTTGGCCGCTAGCGATAGTTGTTCTCACTACTTAATTGGCAATGTGTCCCATAGCTTTATTTTTTTCATTTTCGTATCAAGTGCCAGGTATAAAATAGCAATCGCTTTACATTGACAGCAATTGTGGATGACGTGGTCGTAAACGCAATTACGCGCTTTGGAAAATGGCCAAAAAAATATTTATAAATATCTATTGTTTTCTTTAATATTTTTATGCTTTTGTTTACCCTACTGAGCTATACGAAAGCGGCGATTGTTTCATGAAACATTACTAAGCGTAACGTAGTGCCCGAAATCACTTAACCGGATTGCGTTTTGTTTAATGTCGTCATGTGTCATATATTGCGGCCATGTTAGTTTCTCATTTGTCCACGTTTATTGTTCACAGCGGAATTTATTGTGAATTATGTTATGTTTTCACACAAACCTTTGTTCGGCCTGTGTATTGTTTGCTTTTTTTTATATACAAACAATAAGAGAAAGATATATCAGGTCGGTTTTTGATAGTGATATACACATACCTAATCTCCTTATCGGAAAAGTGATAATTTAAAAAATAATCTATTTGTTCAGTTAAAAAGATTTTGCGATTGAGTGTCATTGAATAGTACCTGTCTATCTTTATTCACCGCGCATACGCCCATAGATCTTAGTGCTTAGTCAATTTTAGTTACGCGTAGGCATCGTTGGTAGTCGGTTGGATGCCTGCATTTATATTCGAAATTGGTTTAGTCACATTGGATTATTCGGAATTTGTTATTGCTCCAACAATCAGTGTTGCGTTCGATAAGTCAGGCGATTAAGTATCAAGAATCATAAATACTCAGGTGTGACATATATCTTCATGCCCTGGTTTTACGGATTCGTTGTAATCGCGATCGTAAATTATAACTCGGAGTGAAAATCTTAACTAATTTCCTGAGTGAAATTGAACCGGGTCGTGCACACCTGTCGCGTTACTTAGTACGCCTCCGTTTGGTGTGTCGCGCCGATCAAATTTTCCATACTACTTTACGGAATTCAATGTTCCGTTCCTTATTCGTGCGTCGATCGAACGACGGGCCCTATATAAGAATCTAACGGTCAGTAAGCCGAATAATGTATGTGGGTCGCGTTGCCCAATGTCACACGGCTATGGCGGTGCGTGGCTCTGTCCTAAAGGCGTGGAATGCATGCTGGCCACGGTGATCGCTATTCGGCTCACGGCTGGTCGGCCGGTGACTCCTCGGGATAGTTCAGCCCCGCTACCATCGACACGCACCGTCAGTAGAATACTAATGACACTCTTTGTGCCGAGAGACGCGACGTACCCTGTCGCGGGATAACGAAAGTTTTGTAACGCCTTTTGGGTCGGTTGCTTCAGCATTAGCCACGGTGTCGTCATTGTATGCGCTGACTAGAATCGATATATATCTTTAAGGTGATTGTGAGTAATTGAGACGATTGGGGAGTTTGCTTTATCCCCATTGCGCTGACACTAGTTGGCATAAACAAATTCTTGGTCTCGTCGAGCGCGATTGGCCATCGATATCCGTTGCATTTATATAATGTTCTGTACCGCGGGTGGCGGGTAACACGGCGTAGTGTGTACAGTGCCGCCGTGAATACGAATCCGTGTTAAAGCGCAAGTTTCGCTCGCGCTGCGCCCGTGGAGCAGCTGCTGCACGCTCCAGTGCTCGCCGCTCGATCTCCCCCCCTCCCCCCCCTACCAGCGACCGGGCCCCCGCGCCGCCCTTGCGAAAAATCATAATGCAATTGCCAGGACGCCCGGCGCGGAACGCTCCGCTGCGTGGTTCCACCGCCAGCACGCAACCAGTCCACACTCAAGTGCGTTCAAACTCACACGCCGTCCATCACGATGGATTGGCCGCGTCGGTACTGATTTCACCAGCGGTGCTCGGTTGACCGGAACCGACGGCTTGCGCATTGAGTTGCCATTGAATCAAGTTATTCGGTGATGTTAACTTTTTAAAGTGCGTACCTCTGGGGCCGATTCAAACCACTTCGTTCGCTGTTGATATTTTGAATTTTGTTGAAGTTTTGCTCCGCTGTCGTCGCCTTTTGCGGTCTGCGAAACGCATCGTGAATCACTAGTGCGGTTTCGGCGACCGAATTTTTTCCCTAATAGAAAACCGGGTCCATGTCTAAATTACGCCAAGCTCATTAGCGACCTTCTACGTCGCAACAATTGTCCATCAAGTATAAATTATTCCTCGCGCGTCGCTTATGCATCCGGCGATGCTTGCTTTCCAAGTGTTCGCTTTGAAGCGATTGTACCATTGCGAACAGTTGCTCGAATCGCTCGCTATAGATTGGTAGCTCGGTCCGCGCGTTATCGCCGTGCGTAATAATAAAAGGAAACGATCGGTTAATTATCACTATTTAGGCGATAAGGTTATTTGTGAAACCCTACGGAATGCCGGATTGCGCTTGTGGCGCGATAGTAGTGTTGTTGCCGTGATGAGTTGAAGCCTTGTGCTCAGTGTTGTAGTGTGCATGCGGAAAGTGTTTAAAAAATATGAGTATGTGGGGTGCCGCAGTATCCAATCCTCCGCACTACCATTACGTGCAAGGGCCGAAGAGTGCGGGCCCACAGCGCGGTCCCGCGGGCCCCGTACTTTCGGGGCCCAGCGTGAGACATTTGAGGCCGCAGTCCTCGTATTCGCTCCCTCACGGCACTAACGGGCCGGGGCGCTGGGGCTGGTCCGGTGGCCACGCTTCCTCGTTCGACCGCAGACAGTTGAAGGTGCCGCCTCAGCCCGCCCGCCCCGCACCCTCGCGGCCCGCGCAAAGCAGAAATACCGCTTCTTATGTAAGTGAAGGAAAAGTGTGTCAATCACAAACCCACAAACCGTTGCTTAATTATAAAATTGCAATTGTATAACATATCTCACACGAATATAATCTATTCGAAGTATTCGTCTGCGAAAGAGAAATGTTGATATTCGTTTGAAATTCTATTTTCGCGGGTTTTATATGATGCATTAAAATTTCAAAGAAATAACTGATGTTCAATGCATTGTTCATAATACCAATCTACTAATATTGTTTAGTAATTAAACGAAAAGTTTTATAATAAACTAGGTGACATCCACAAACAATTAAGTATAAACAATTTCAAACAATTTGTAAAAGCTACCTTAATAGCAAGGGCCTACTATAATGTCCAAGAATACATTGAGCACAAGGATGTTTGAAAATGACTCTTGCTCTGCACTTGCAAGACCCCTGGCTGCTGCTGATTTTATACCCAAATAAGTGTGTATAATTGCATTAAAAAAATATATATAACAAAAAGAACAAGACCGCAGAGTTTCTTGCCGGTTCTTCTCTGTGCAGGTCTAGTTTAGTGAACCGGTGGTAGATTTTTTGTTGACGTTCAATAAGAGCTTAAATTAGGCCTATATTGAATAAATATACTTTGACTTTGACTTTAGTGAATATGATGATACAATAAAGACGATTTTGATCAAATAATAAAATTACAACCAACAATATTGATGATTTCTCTATCGTTGGATTTTCTGAAAATTAAAACGCGTGTATGTAACTGTGTAGTATGTTGTTGCGCGTTAAAATGGGTACTTAAACCTGACTTACTTTAACGAGTTCTCTTTTCTATTTTTAAAAACGATTAACGTGTCTTTAATTAGTATTAATTGTATGCAGCAAAAATCTAATTAACAAAATTTTGCTGTCCACTTTAGATCACCTAATTTTGTTACCGGTATAATTTTGGTACCGGTTTAATTTCATTTTATAAAATTTGTCATTAACTTATCGAAATTAGATTACAATTAATAATTACAATTCTTCAGAACTAAATGTATGCAATTATAATTTATACTAATATAGTTCAAGTAGTCACTCTCGTAGAGAAATATTGAAAAGCTGTCTGGAGAAAAGCATTAAGAATTTGATTATGAATGATTATAATAATATCTCATTCAATACTCAGATGAAGTGACGTAGTAGTATTTAGTTTAAAAAAATCGCGAAGTAATAGTGACTAAATTTATCGAAATACATAAGCTTCTGTCATGTAGCTGTCTTGCGTATAAGAATGTTCACATTTATTATATCAAAAATTCTTTTTGTTTTATGTATTTCCCCCAATTTCCCCAAAAAGGGTTGCAGTTATTTCTGCCGTAAGGAACGATGAAATACGTACTCCGTTGGTAGTTACGCCACTCGAAGGTTTAGTGGAAATATGCGAGTAGTTGCGCGCATACCGATAGTCATAGTCCCTTTTAAGCGAGGCGGTTCTCTTTATAGGGCTAACTGTAATGAATAGCAAATGTTCCGTCCGAGGCGGTTGCGTTCCACGGTGGCCGAGCAACGATGCGGCGTGTGACATGACCTAAAATTTACACCGCAAACCAAACCGCGCGCCGTTGTTTGTCGGCTTTCTGTTGTTTCCTGTTACTCTTTTATAGGTTACTTTTTTATGTCAAACTAGTGACCTGCTCCGGCTTCGCACGGGTGCAATATATTATACATATAAACCTTTCTCTTGTAAAAACTCTATCACTCTATCTAGTAAAAAAAGCCGCATTAAGATCCGTTGCAGAGTTTTAAAGATCTAAGCATACATAGGGACACACAGACAGCGGGGCTACTTTGTTTTATACTATGTGATGAAGGTGGCAAACGAGCGGGTGGTTCAACTGATGTTAAGTTATAGCCGCCACCCATTGACATTTGCAACACCCGGAGGGCTGCCATCTTTAAATAACGAGGGCCCCGCACGAATGCAGAAGTATAACACTTCCACTTCACGCTGGTTTTCTGTGAGGTCGTGGCGCTTACTCGGACGGACCTGCCCCATTCGTGCAACGGCGAAGACTGTTGCGTGGCCCCACCACAGTTAAGTTACTACGATAGAAAGTCGTATGTTCGCGGCATAAGTTTCAGTCGATCACTCCGCCAACTAATGCTGGGTACCGTGATGTCGGCTCGACCTTCGCGCGACGCATAAATTTCCGTGAACCATAAATAGTTGTGCGTGGAAACAGAAAAAAAATAGATTAATTATGTCCTAACGAAGGCTTTCTTTTTCATTTACATTTTTAAGAGCATAAGTACATAGATTTTTTTTAACGAAAACTTTATCTATTTCTTCCTCCGTCGCAGGTACTGATCTTCCGGACGGTGAAAACACTATCTATATTGTTCTATATCTTTTTGATAGGAGTAACATAACGGTTCGGTATACACTTATATAGTTGTAAACATTTATCTTTTTATATAATATACGATTAAGTTTAGGTATTCTTAGCTACTTATTATATTATATATTTATTAATATAACTTTGCTTTATATTCGAATCTTGAAGATGGAAATTATTATTTACGAGTAAATTTCATCGGTCTATACCTTTTCCCACTGCTGGGCAAAGGTATCCTCGGTAAAATGGATATTAGGACTTAGTCAATATAGCGACCCCACTGCGGATTGCCAAATTCACATATATTCGACAAAATTTGTTTTTGTTATTTCGAAAATATGCAGGCTTTCTCACTATGTTTTCCTTCACTGCTGAGCACGTAAATAGACTGCATTGAATATAAGGTTTTTATTGGTGCTGACACACTGGATTAGAACTGGGCTTAATCGAGTATAATGAATTAAAAGCGAGCGCTCGGACACTGAGCCATCACGGCTCTTCATTCATGTATATATACATACGCTATGTTGATACAATCTGTATTCAAGGTACATTTTCTAAAATTACATGAATCATGTTTATCTTCCAAATGACGTCATCACTTTGATAAGAATGATTGATTTTTATTAAAGTCATATTAATGAAATCGTTTGTTGGCGATAACACGATAAGCTTGATATTTCCATCAAAATTAACATAAATTAAGTTTTTCCATTTATTGTTCACAGTCACATTGTGGGCACTGGTCAGATAATTTAGTTGCTTAGCATCAACTAATCATGATCATTATTTCAGTCTCTTAGAGTCCACTGCTGAACATTATTGGCCTCTGCCTCAGACAGCCGCGAAGCACACGATCCTCAGACACCGGCATCCATCGACTTCCCGTATATTTGCGGAGGTCATCTAGTGGGGGGTCGTCGTGCACTACGATGGCCAGTACGAGGCTGCCACTCGAGAACCTTTCTTTCCCGTCACCAATTCTGCTTATTAATCTTCTGAGTTATGTCGGTTATCTTTGTTCTACTGCGGATATCATGCAGGGAAATACGTGCATAGCCCGCTTTATAGCTCGCTGAGTGATTTGAGCTTTCTCATTCGGCCAGTAAAGGACCACGTCTCGGTTCCGTAGGTTGTATAACATATACGAAATTTTCCGAACGATGCCCTAGTTGGATTCGCCGATTGACCTCTGGGTCGAAGTGAGTCGAGTAATAACTGTTCTAGGCAATTATACTCGTCATTCGTATATATAACTGTATGTACTTCTGATGACTCCGTGGCGCAGTGGCCAAGGTATTGGCATCGGCGTCGGGGGATCGTGGGTTCGATTCCCACACGGGACAACTATTTGTGTAATCCACAGATAGTTGTTTCGCATCTGGGTATTTGTCCGCGTGAAATTTATGTTTGTAAAACGTCCTTACAACACAGGATAATATTATCCTAAAGTAAGGGCAATGTTTAAAAAAAAAAACAAGAACCAAGAACAACTTCGAGCACAGTACTCTCAACAATAACCGGTAAAGGTATCGCCTTTGATGGACATTAGACATGATCTTTGTCTTGTCCATGTTCATCTTAAGGATAGTACAGCGATTTTTGTATGTGAGAAGGCGGCATGCTACTTGGCGGCTCACCTAACATGTTAAGCGATAACCACTGCCCATGGACATTTGCAACACTCGTAGGGTTGCAGATGCGTTGCCACCGTTTAATAAAGCTTCTTCTGCAGTTGCATAGGTTTAGTACTACTGGTCTGTACTTGGACGGACATCGTACAAACACCTCAGCACCTTGATATACAGACAGTCATTTTGGTCGAAGGCTTTTTCATATCTACATACGCCAGGCATAAAGGCAGATTATACTCCTCGGTCTTCTGCATAATCTGCCGCAAAATGTGTATGTGGTCTGTGATACTGAAGCCATGAACTGATCGGTAGGTTTTATAATTATGTACATTGTGTAGTGTTTAAATTTTCATGACACAAACAGCAGCTGCAAACGGAGCCAAACTAACTAAGAGATTAACGTTTCGTAAGCAGTAAGCGAAAGCCAAATTCATTTTGCCAGTGCGAACTTCTTATTTTGGAACTTTTTAATCCGCTAGATGGAAGTTTTCGAATAAATCTAAGCACTTGGATTTCTTATAGTGTTAATAGAAAAGTTTAGATGGAGTTATTAATTTAATTAGTCTTCGCTGGGTGACATTTGAAATTGAGATTGGGGAGGTGCAACGTGTGCTTTTATGCCTTACCTTTACATAATTAACATTTTTTTTCGGGAGACTTTTATATATATATATTTTATTCGATTATCCATATCTATTTTTATTTATATTCTATTATATGTATTATTATGCACATATTTATACACATTGCACATATACATATGTATGCTAGTGGTCGCCTAGTAGACGAAATTCGACCATAATTAATTATACGTAGTAGTGTGTAAGTGTTTTTTTTAATGATTTAATATACTTTTATGCATAATTAAAAAGAATATTAGCAGTTATGGTTTACATAGAGAAGGAGAATTCTCTATGTAAACCATAACTGTGGGAAATTACATGCTCCTTCGTCCGCCCAATTTCTGTAAATAGAGGTACAAAGTTTATGCTTGTCGTCTTGATGGCTGATTTTTCGTTTTTTGTAGAAAAAAGAAGTTAATCTTTAAAAATGTTTAATTTCGTGCAGTGCTGTGTATCAACTGCCTGCATAGGTGGCGTATTGGTTGTGCAACGTGTTTTAGGTTAGGCCGTAATTTCGGCCGCACTGGAATAGAAAGAAAGAGTCGGTCAAATGTTAATAAGTTGCTCATCACTAAAAGTTTCTCAATAATCTATTCGAAAAGTACATTATATGAAGCCGAAGCGCAATTACAAGAATTCAATAATTGCATTGAATTTATTTATAAGTACAATAGAATTCAATAACGTTAGGATGACATGTTAATGTTTCGATCTTCTTTTCACTTTGTATGTAATCGTTGCAATTTAAAGCGTAAAGTGAATGTCGTTATAATATAAGCATCGGCCTTTATCCCTCGCATCGAGATTAAATTTTTTAAAAGCTTTTGTTTGCAAAATTGGACGCCGTTGCCGAATAAACATTTCATCGGCACAATCGGTCTTTCATATCTGCCTCGTTAAAACTTAACTGCTGGAACCTTCGTTTTATAAATTATTTTACATTTGAATAAAGTCCAAAATTGATGTCATCAATTCAGTACAATGATGAACGTTGGTCAATATACTGATTACTTTTCCCATATTAAGTTTCGAAAATATTAGTAAATTGCATATTTAGACTACGTATGACTGTAATTCGATGGAAACGGTTCAATTTCTAGAAAATTCTCAACGTATTATTTTCCTATCAGTGCTCCCGATTAGTAGTCAGGTCACGTGTCGCTACATACCCGCGCTTCAGCTATAAGCCGGATAAAATTTCCACTAAAAAACTATGATTGCTTTTACTTAATATTACTACGGAAATATTTTAGTTCTCTCGTCTCTTAGCACACTGCGGCCTCTTTTTATCACTAATTAATATTTCTTTCAAAGATTACGATGCTAATCTACATATGAATGATAATCTAGTCTTTTAAAACATTGACACACTGATGCCACTGTAATAGAGAGATTGGAAATGAATCGATTGACGTCTTTCGATGGCTTGATTTTAACTATGGAAGTAAGCATCGTTTTGTATTTTTTGTGGGACCGACAAGATCTATTGTAATCTTCAATTTAAAAACATTGCCCCTTTACTGCAATGTAAGGACGTTTTTCATAAATAAATTTCACAAACACCCAGATCCGGAACAATCATTTGTGGGTCACACCAGTTGTTTTCCCGTGTGGGAATCGAACTCACGACCCCTGGTGCAATTAGGCACCTTGGCAACTGCGCCACTGAGTCATCAAGCATCGGTTAGTCTAAGCAGTATTAACGACCGATAATAAATTGAACTTGTCTTTGTTAACATAAAAAACAACTTTTATTCCTATAAGAATTCTAATCTAGCATTGGATAAAAGTTGTTTTTGTAGATGGAACTAAAATTATATTAAAATGGGTCTTAGATATATTGAAAATGCATGCGTTATTATGACCTGTGATAGTGCAGTGTGGAGGCTGATTTTTTATAAAAATAAGTTTGTACAACTGTATCACTAAAAAAAAAGAGATAACAATACCGCAGATTTTCTTGTCTTCCTTCTCTGGTTTATTAAGCCTATTAATGACTAAAGAAATTTTGACTTTAACCTTGTTAATTGCAATTTGAAGTGTCGATTTATCAACTTCTCAGAGGCAAAAGAAAATATCGGGAGGAATAATAATAGTAAATCTACATATTTTTGAAATAATAACAAAAAAAAATTGTTTCGAATAAATATGTGATGTCTGACAACCCGCAGTGGGGTTACGTGGTGGACAATGCTTAATACTCTCTGTACAGGGGAGGCCTTTGTCCAGCGGTGGGACATATATGGGTTGCTACTTTACTTTTTTACATGCGGCATACAATTGTGACTCAATCGTAGGTACTAAATATTCAAGGCGAATAAATAATAGTTTAGTTTTATTCAGTATATACAACTAGTTTAGTTTTATTCTTGCCGCTAAACGTTCGCTAATAGCCCGACCGTTATCGGTAACACCTAAAATTTCCATTTGGGCAATAACGAGCCGCTAAACAATTCCGCAACGATGTTTCGAATGTTCTAATTCGCACATTCCGTCTCATCTTGCGTTTAATATGAAAAACTAAATACTATGACAAAGTAAGTATCCGACTACGGAATATTCATTACATTAAAACGCTTATTATGTTTACTGTTTATTTAAAATAGATGGACAATATACATAATAACTATTATTGGATTTATAATTGGATTATGATCTGCCAGACAGGGCAACCAAACTAGGATACCAGTCTCTCACAAGGGAGGGAATTATTATTATAATTAGCATAATTATGATATACATTATGCTGATTTTATTCAACAACACGGTTTAGTTACTAAGTCACTAAACGATACGATAGAGTGTTTGTTACTTCACTTAAAAAAATATTTGGCTAAATGTGCATCGCCTTTGCTGTACTTGTATGTACTTCGCGCTTCGACTCTTTAGTTGAAATATAAAATAAACAGCTATCCATGTTCCGCAGCTTATCGAACAATTTTGATGGAAACATACTTTTTAAGTAAAGTCCATTACATTTATGCGTGTTTTTATAAATAATAGTATTTTCGATATCGAGATTCAAGTTATCACTATTAGATTAATGCCATTGCCAACTAAAATAGTTACAATCTATGTTATGGCTTTACATATTTTTGTCCTATTCGTAAAACATAAAAGCTGATTTCATTTTATCGGATTCTTTTGTGATTAGCGGTTTATTTATCGCTTAAAACATTTGTGATGTTTACGCCTAAGCTTAAACAAATTCTTTGGAAATAATTATGACTAATTATAAAAATCCCCTAATCGTTAATGGTGGACAGCAGTGGTAAGCACCCCGAGCCGATTTCGTCGTGAAACAAGGGAGTTTACCATAAGACGCTCCATGTCGACTGTGATGAGTTAGTATAATGCTACTATTTTAGAATTTGTCGAAAAAATTTTAAGTGAATGTGTAAATGTTTATGATTTTTAATTGTATCCGTGACAAACAAACATTTAATGCTAATAGCGTTTGGAATACATTTACACACATCATCATAAATACATCAATGTCAAGCAAAATAGTTTCCCATAAAAGCTTTACTAACATCTTTTGCAACTTCAATATTCGTTTCACCCAACCAGCGGCGCACGTAATGTCGGTCGCTTATTCCGCAAAATTTTCTGACGCTAAAATACCTTTGCTAAAACTCCGATCATACCTCGCTTACGTGATAACATTTGAATATTTAAAAACGTAGATGTCAATGACTATCGTTGTCACCCACATATTTGCATATAAAATGTTTTTTATTTAAAGTGATAATAATATTCTTCATTGATGGAGCTCAGTCTTGCGCATTTTGTGTCGGTTGATTTAAGTAAAAATTCATTACCTAACAATCATGTTCTCAATGGCTAATTCGGATGAATAAGACAAATGGATATACTATTCGTATGAATAAGACACATCTGAAGACAATAAGATTCAATCGATTTTGTAATAGATATTATAAAGAGATGCGATAAGATTACCGCATCTGTTTATAATTCGTCGATGGATCAATATCCATCTCTCTAAAGAATGGTTATTATGGTAAACCGTTGTTTGGCGAACGCGTGGTAAAGTGTTTTTTTAGGGATTGGTGATGAGAATTGAACGATTGCTGATATTATACACTGTTTTACTTGTTATATTATTCACTCTATTTAAAAAAAAAAAATAAGATAGACTTTTTAAAAATCAAAAAACTGTTTTTAGTGTCCGATAAATAAAATACCTAGTTCTAGTAATTCTTACTTATTTTAATACCTAGTACTTCTATTTGCGACTTTCATATTGTTTTTAATTTGCCTTAATGTAATATTAAGAAGAATTGGATTTTTTTTATTTGTTTTTCCTACTTATTATAAGCTATTTCATCTTTGCATACTTTGATTATGATATTTTGTTGTAATAAAATTACGTTTTTAGTTAAAAGCCGAGAAAAAATAACACATAAATATGTTTTTGCCTAAAACTATCGTTAAAATTTTAGTTACATTATTAATTTATAGTATTTATATTTTTAATTTGTGATACGGAAAATTAAATCTTATTTCGATTTTGCTAAGCCGACGCGAGCAAGGTTTTTTTTTTACTTGTTTGTGAATGTTGTGTGCAAGTTTCTTTTATGTGACAAGGTGGCATACGAGCTGGCTCTTCTTCTGATGTTAAGTGATAACCGCCGCCCATGGAGATTTGCAACACTCGTAGGGTTCCAAAAGCGTTGCCACTTTTAAATAAAGTGGGCCCCGGCTACCTCACTCGTCAGACGAAACGCAGAAGTGTAGTAACACTTCTACTTTACGCCGATCTTCTGTGAGGTCGTGGTACCGTGGTAATCATGGTACCTGGACGGCCCTGCCCATTCGTGCAATAGTGTACACCATTGCGTAGCCCTACCACAGTGTCTGTTGTAAAATATAATAGTTTGATGACACGTTCGTTTCTTTTCTCAACAGAAGGTCGATCCCGAGCTGATCTTCACGAAGCAAGAGAAGATCGGCAAGGGCTCCTTTGGCGAGGTGTTCAAGGGCGTCGACAACAGGACGCAACAGGTTGTCGCCATCAAGATTATCGACCTCGAGGAAGCTGAAGATGAGATTGAGGACATACAGCAGGAGATCATGGTGTTGTCGCAGTGCGACAGCCCCTACGTCACAAAATATTACGGATCATACTTAAAGGTAGGTAACATCTTTTAAACTATATATATTTTGCAGATAATCAGTGTTTATTTTTTATTACATAATATCTCAATTATAAATTTAGCAATGGTACGTCTAAATTAAAAAGGGCTTCTCTAAATACTTCAGAAAAAAATTTTATGTAGTCAATATAGACATAGGAAGACATTTGCAATGTAGCAATATATTTATATAAGCCTTCATAGAGCATTTCAGCGTTGGAAGTGAAGCTGATAGAGACTTAAAAACGTTCCACACAAAAACGGTCCGACTTTCTGTCCTATCAAACATGCATTACTCAAACACTGACAGCATACATCTGCATTGGTAGATGGACTGCGGGCATAATATAAAGTATTTCGGGATTGCCCATAATAGAAGCTATCAATCATTGTCCGTGAAGCCGACGTTGCTACTCTCTGTCGCCACAACGATTTTGAAGACGAGGACAGTACATCACTTTTGCCTAAAAAGCATAGATATTATTAAGAAGTTAGGCATTTTAAACAGACTCCAAAATGGAGGACGCTCTCAATTCGGTTGTATTTTGTATGATCGTTACCTCGGACCTTCGTCATTTATGAATCGATATCAAAAATAAGTTTGCATTGGGCTAGGTTCGCTCTCATGTGGTCCCATATAAATTTTATTGCTATTGGATCTTAAATTCCGGAGATACATCAGGAAACACTACAAACTACGCAAAATCAAATATAAAATGTATGAGATACATTGGTGATGGAGATATATGGGATATATAAAATTTAAGCGAAATATTTGATCTCTGTTTCATTTTGTGTAAATAAAAACGATTTGTTGTGTATAATACCATCGTCATCGGCGGCTCTTTATATATCAAAATGTTGCATTAACCATGTTATTGATATTTAAACTTTAAAAGTAAATATGTTGAATGCTATCTAGAGATAAAAAAAATATATTTATAAATTAAAGATCTGAAAATAGTTCGCCTCAATTTTAGCGTTACGAAGAGTTAATCCACTCGGACCCACTTTTGATCAGTGTTTTGGGAGCTATCATGTCAGGCTTCGCTGAGCTCGCTATCTAAGTAGGTCACGTACCAGAAAATCGAAAACTGCTGTGAGTTGGGAAAGGAAATTACATATTTTATTCAATCGGATTTTTATCAGGGTGATCACTACAAACCTTTGCATATCTAGCTTTTTTAATGCCACTGTTCGGTGTATTTATAAGTTTTGTATGTAATCAGATTAGTATTCTTTATTCTTAGAAGCTGTACACAAAGCTCTCCCGTTTCCATCATTCGATTTATTTCGATAATGCTTTGTGTTAAATTTGCTCTCGGTATCTAAAATTGCATGACGTTATTGCTTAAACCCCGCTACGTGACGTCCGGAATTGCGTTGCCATTCCGCAGCGTTATTGCCCGCAACCGACTTCGGATATCGAAAAGTGTCAACATAATAAAACGGTTTTACTGTTATCGTTATTGCCGAAAATTTGGGGGTTTTGTTGGTGTTGTGTTATAATTGCCACTTGACTAAAAAAAGGGGTGAAAGGGGTGCCCTTTCTATTCCGACGAAATATTTAATGAATCCTATATACAGGCAGCGGGTTTTTGTCCACATTGACTGAGAAAATATTATGTAACGTACAAACTTCTATTTTATTCGTTTTTTATAAAACACACAGAATCGAATAGCTCCATGTCAAGCATATCTGTTTTTATAGCCGCTGTTCACGTCCTATTTTCGTTCGTTCGATAGAAACGTTCACCGAAACGACGCGATACGTTCGCGTGCACAATCGCGGCGCGCCAACAGTTTCGCCGTCACGAAGACGTAAGGTCAGAACCAGGTACAAACACCGGTTCACTATGTTGCGAAGCGTATGCAACTCTCCCGCGAAATGGTACCACAATCGCATGCCCGACTGATTCACGGTTTGACGAAGTCTTAGTTAGTTAACGGAGGTTTCGCAATTAATCACCGTCTCAATGCCATTCTCACTCAGCAGAGGCGTTGCCCTAAATGGTGTGGCGAACAATGGCTTGTTGATTGTCGTGTAAATTTTGTTAGTCATAAATTGGATATTAACCACAAACTAATTTAATCACTATTGTATGGCTGTTTACTTTAACTCTGGTTATTTTAACTCGCTCAGTATTTCTTCTATCTATTGTTATTTTCCGGCACCGACATACGAATTAATTAAATCGTTTAAATAAATTGACTTTAAAGGCAATTGAAATTACTGCAACTTGCATTTTTGCATTTTTCTCGAGTACTTTGTTTACATGCCTTCCTGTAAAAGTTCATCGGAACAAACAAACAAACCTGCCTTTACCCGTTTTGATTAATATTTTTTCTTTCTATGTTTATTCTTTGTTGGATATATTTGGTTGAGGTTTGATCGACAGACAGTTCCTTTCTCTACTCTTATAGACCTCTGATTTCTGTAATTTTTTTCTTCCGTTTATTGTTGAAATAAACAATAATGAATATAATATTCCATCGCAGATTTTCTTGCCGATTCTTTCTTAATATATGTATATGTATTAGAAGTATAATGCGAAAAGGTGGCTACGGGAGCACCCGTACATTATACAAAACCGCTGTGGTCGATAAATGCATTTTTATTGTTCGATCACTCGGCCTTATTTTATTACCTAATTGGAGCCGTAAATCTGAAATATTTTTACTTTTAATATTTTATATTTTTAATACGTCCATAGTTGTTTGAAACAGTGCCTGATGAGTGGATTGTGCGGCCTAGGCTGTTTTAGAATAATTTCATGTACAAGCAAAATTATGCATTGTGTACACGTGCATATTCTTGTAACGATATTTTCTACTGAAGTGGTATAAGGGATGTGAAAGAAAGGTCGTTTTTCCAACCGATAAATATTGTAGTTTTTTACCCAAATTTTAATGAAGAACTTCTAATAGTTATTTGTTAATTTAACCTTGTTAAATGTAATTAATATTCAGTAGATGTGACCCTGGTGAAATGTGGACAGCATGAGTTATCTCTCATTAGGACGTGCGATTTTTTTTAAATTCAAATCAATGAATGTTTTAGAGAACGAAGACTAAGTCGATTCGATGACTCTTGAATTATAATATATTTTGAGTAACTCCCAAAAACGATAGCATAAAGTCAGAAGCGATTTACCTTTTATGTTGTATATACGTTTTTAATGGTACGGTTTAACTTATAAATTATTGATGGTGATTGACGAAGCCATGCTTATTGCAGATTAGTTTATCGTGCTCATATCTTCCTGCTACCTTCATGCTCAAGTAGTTACGATACGGGGAAGCGGCGGATAGAGCGTTGGTTTTCGACGTGTTGCATTTCTCGATTAGTGGGCCGACGGCGGCGCGCTATCGCAATCTTGACACACTTTTGTATGTTGTTGTTATGCGTACCTTGCAAAACACGACGCAACGAATACTTAACGAATAGTCACTCAGACCACGCCGTGTTTTGCCTTTTTTAATGTGCGTTGCTTTAAATGCCCTTTCAATTTTTATTTGCTCGATCATAGTACGGAAAAAGAGTTTAACATTCGTTGAACTGGAAATACGTATAGCTGATTCTGCTGATCGACATTATACTCGCCAGACATTGCATCATAGCGTTAAGTTCAAAAATTATTTTTAAAACACGTAACAGCTGTTTATTCAATATTGCACACCTTGGGTGCATCACAATGTACATACTCCACGTGAAAATATGACTCAGTCTGGTGAAATCGTAGACATCGCCATAATCAACATAAATGTTTCTAATAGGTACGTAGATCCTCACTGTTGATGTTAGATGAAAGTGACACCTTAACTTGTCGCATGCGACTTCCCACGCCTACGCCTGACCAACTAATCGCTCACGACTTGCATAAGCACCCAACACGCGGCTTAACATACGTACAAAGCTTTCGGTGTACGTTTGAGTTGTGAAAGGGAGGAGACGCGGGCTTTTGTAGGCCGACGTTGCATAACTCGCGAACGTAGAAACGTGCGGGATCGATCGTCACTTCACTACGGTCCGTCACAATGGGACGGATCGCAGTGGTAAAGAGAGTTGGAAACACCGAGGCCAGTGCTCGGCAATAAAATAACCGATTGTTACGTAATTTCCCGAATAGAAAGCTCAAGCGGTTGTGTGTTCACGACGACCGATGGCGCAAAGCAAAGCAAACAAATTGTTTGCTTTGCTTCTTTGCTGAACATTAACGAACGTCAATGCGACATTTGCATGTGTGCCCTAACCGTGGTAGGGCTACGCAACAGTCTTCGCTGTTGCAAGAATGCGTAGGTCAGTCCGGGTAAGTACCACGACCTCACAGAAGACCGGCGTGAAATGGAAGTGTTATGCTTCTGCATTTCCTCTGGTCAGTCAGGTAGCCGTTGCCCACTTTATTATGAAGTGGCAACGCATTTGCTACCTGACGGATGTTGCAAATGTCAATGGGCGGCGGTTATCACTTACGAACAGGTGAACCGTAAGCTTGCTTGCCACCTTCTTAAACAAAAAAACGCGTGAACCGTGCCATTAATCGACCTCGGATATGCACAAAAGGCACGTTTGCGTTCTAGTGCGTTCTCACCTACGACATTTACCGAAATAGTCCATGACCGTCATCTGAGGTTCGTAACACGCTCTGACGGCGCTTTCACGTTAACCTGGACCAGAGGTTGCATGCAACCGCATGTCCAATTGTACTTTGCTTGAATTCTAATTTACAATCGAGCTAGTAGTAAATATGTTCAGTTTAAATAACATTTGAATTGATACATAAATCTATTTACTGATTATTCTCTGACTGAGTTAAAGACGTCCCTATACGTGTTCGTTGGCTTTTAACATTTTTGTTTTCAAATTAGCTCTAGTTTCTGTTTTGAAATCGAACTTTATTTAAATGCTGCTAATAAAGCGTTTTGAGCTATGTACCTATGTACATTTCATTATTAATAATCATTTCGTTATTTAAAAAAATATACGGTTAAAGAGTTACGGTTACGTAAACAAAAATCATTTATTGAAATAAAGAAAACTTGGTGCTTTTAACGTTTCGAACGATGTAATTAAAAGCCTTTTCGATATGAATGAGGAAGGTATAAACGTTTGCGTTTATAATATTAGCGTGATACTTGTGTCAATTAGCGAAAGCTTAAAATAACTTAATACAGTGACGCACGAACAAAGTGGGGCCCTGCGTCAAGTCAACGATATGTGACCGTGTGGCCATGAAACTACAACGTAGCATATCAATGTCCACGCACACGCACGCGTCAATGTCCACGGACACGTTCACACACAACACACACTTGCAACGAAAACCTCTGAACTTGACTTTATTTATCGCCTACGAATAAAATGTGCGTATACTCAGATTTCTGCTATAAACTAAACGAGTTCGTTCGGATTGTACGTATTACGGTATTTTCCTTTGATCTTATGTTATTTAACAAAATTTTAGACACGCGCAGCTTTTTCTTGTGATATGAAAAAAAATGACATTAGGAATAACACACTTTTTATGTGAAAAGTTGGCAAGCGAGCAAGGCGAGTTCAAATGTTAATGATTATCGCCGTCAAAGGATATCTGCAACACCTAAACGGTTGCAGGGGAGTTTTTTTTTATGTGAAAGTTGCCAAACGAGCAGACGGTTCACCTGATGTGAAGTGAATACCGCCGCCCATGGACATCTGCTACACTCGAGGGTTCCAGCTGTGTTGACAATCTTTTGGAAGTTGGGCTCCGGCCACCTCACTCACCAGACGAAACGCGAAAGTGTTATACTTCCACTTTACGCCGGTCTTCTGTGAGGTCGTGGTACTTACCCGGACGAGCCTGCCCATTCGTGCAACAGCCGAGGCTGCTGCATGGCCCTACCATCGAGTTGCCAACCTTTAAAAACGTGGGCCTAGTTACTTCACTCAACGGACGAAAAGTGAGAGTGTAATATTTAATTAATTCCGTCTTCTGTTAGGCCGTGGTTTTACCCCTGATGAGACTACAATGCGCAAATGCAGAAACCGTTGCGTGGCCCTACCTCAATCAAAATCAAATCTTTTTCCTTTTTACCAGATTTTTATTTTGTGTTAAATCATAACACAAAAAGTTGTCAATAAAAATTATATGTTTTATTCTGCTATACGACATTAACTGCAAAAAACGTTCCAATTTTATAGCAGTCAGGTAGTTTTTCGTAATACAAAATATTTAACTATTTATTTTTACATTTGTTAAAATAGGTATCCGAGAGTTTACCGAATTTTAATTTATTTCCTGCTCTGACTTTTTACAACTATTAATAGGGCAAGCGAGAGGCAAGCGTTAATAACTTCTTTTCTTATAATTCCGTTCAAATTTAAAGCGATCTCCATTGAAGGGGCTCAGCCCGGCATTGACGTCAGCGTTATGAATGAATTCAAATATGACGCGAATAAAGTGCTACCTGCTTTATGTAGGGCTCACCACGCTTCCGAAGAAATGTGGATAAGTTCACGTATTTATTTATTTTTTAATTTTCATATTTTATTATCTACAATAAATATATTGAATGTAGGTATTATTAATATTAGAATTAGATACCAAAGCTGATTGTAGGTACTATCCTCAGTATCAATTCTTGCATATATTATTTAGCTAATTTACCAAAAAAAACTTTTAAATCCTTAGTCATGTTTGTTAGTATTAGTAGCCAAATAACGTCGTAGTCGTTGTATTTACTATTTTAAACAACATCAGTACTAATAGATAGATAGATTTTTAACGAATATTCAGCTAGTATTCGGTATTTGGTCAATTCGGTAACGTTGTAGTATAAAATTGTTATAGTGAAAATGTTGATTTTCTATTTATGTCAAAAGTCTAGCGACCAGTGGGTTCACCTGATGTTAAGTGATTACCGCCTCTATCTATATCCACATGATTACAAATGCGTTAGCAACTTTTAAAAAGTGGGCTCTGGCTTCCACTTCATGCTGTTCTTCTGCGAGGCCTAGTACTTCCCCGGATGAGCCTGCCAGTGTGGCCGTAATTAATTTTATAATAATGTTTAAAATTACAAGAATATTTGTAATCATTAAAGTCGTCAATGTTAAACTTATTGATTCCGAGGTTGCACCTCGGAATCAATAAGTTAACAAACGAATGTCTAATAAATCTACACTTTTTAATTATGACGATTAAAATTTTTAAGTTCAAGATTGCGGTGCAGAAACACTAACTTTTATTCATTTTTGAACTGTATGTTATCGATTTTCGTTTTACATGAACCGTTTTTTGAATTTTCGTCGAAATAAAACGTCGATACAAGTTAATCCGCCACGCACCGGCCGAATACTTTCGTCCAACATTCGACTATTCTAATATATAATATATAGCTAAATATGATGTCTCGGGAACAAGTTGGGAGTGACCATAGAGTATGGCTATTCTAGGTGATTTTTTTAGCTGGTAAAATCCCAAATGCGGCACGTCTAAACGAAAGAGCCGAAGGACGCCGGTGACTCACAGCAGAGTGCTTTTTGCTCGAGGGAAAATTCCAGAATGTTCTTCATATAAGCGCTAAATGAAGTCAGCCTATCATTCTTGAGACAAATCGGCTCCCTAAGCCAAATATATGTAAATTAGATCACCTTTAATCTTTTAGCTATCTCTAACTATGCCATGTATTAAAAATTTTCTTTCGTTTTATTGTATTCATTTACCGAGTGATATTTTGTAAAGGTCTTTGTTCGACAGTAGACGTCTTCCGGCTGATAATAATGGTAATGTTGACGAGTAATATTTTTTATTTAGAACTTTTTATAAATTAATATTAACTGGAATGATGGTTCAGATGTTGAGGAGGGCCCTTTATTAAAAGACGATTGCTTCAATAGAGCGAAGATCCTTCGTGTTGACTGTGCTAAGTTTTTTTGTTCTGTACCCTTTTACAAGGATGGCTTCAATAATAAACTTCGTACCCATTCACGACCGGACTACTAATATTGACTGAAATGATTTTTTTGTTCTGTACCCTTTTACAAGGATGGCTTCAATAATAAACTTCGTACCCATTCACGACCGGACTACTAGAAGCCGCTCAAATAACGGAATTATTCATCTATTCAATTTAAATAATTGCATAGATATATTTACAAGTCCAATTTTCGGCACGGAATGCGACGCGAAAGCGATGAATTAGTATGTCCACGTAACGACACAATCTCGTTAAAAGATAAGAAACTCGCCCAAGATTGAGCTGGTAAGAAGAAATCGTATCGCGACATATTAATGACTTCTAATTCCGACGATAAATGCGTTTTATTTTTCACTGTTATCTCGAATCTATAGCAAACGGCGTACGGGTCGTCGTTTTTCACGTACGTCGATCAAAAGATTGAAAAGGCGTAGGAAATCCCGCGTTCGATTTGATGGCACCCATTAAACGGTTTTATGTCAATTGACATCAAAGCGGAGTCGCTCCTTCGTTCGCGCTGCGTTCGGATTTCTTTTTTTATTTCTATCATTGAAGTAGTAACGGCCGTTGGGGGCGCACGATCACTATAAAGCGCGCAAGGTTGACAGCCGTAAACGCATTACGGCCACCTTGACCTCAGGCAGTGCGTGGTGTCAAGGCTCGGCCTATCCTATTGAGGAATTTCGCGATTCCATTACGCAGAGGTGGCCATCGGGGAGTCGACGCCAAATAGCCAATTGTCCCGCCACCGGGCCCCGTCTGAATTACCCTGTTATTATGGCTACACGACATTTAAGGGCAATGAAAGCATTTTCTTTTATTTAGTTTTCATTGGCACGATCGTTGACATTCTGGTCTATTGTGCGAGTCGCAATAGATGTGAACGAGCCAGGTTACAATTAAGCCACTTCATCGTGTTTACCACCTAATGTGGTCTGTGTGGAAAATGGCTAATGTATTAAAGAATTCCATGTGCAGTACAGAGAGAGACAAACATTACTTATCTCGTTTTGTGTTTGAGTAGCTTATAAACAATCCTACCGTTCGATATTATCATTAATTATTGCACAAAGTGACAAATCTTTCAATTCAAATTAATTTCTCCGATATACAAAGATATCAACACAAATGTCATGGCAATCACGATTTGCGAAGAGAGGTAAAAGGAACTTGCCCTCTGATTGTTTTTACTTTTTTTTAAAGGTACGGACGTGATTGCACTTTTTATATTTATCACCGTTTTATTTCAAAATGACAAAAAAAAAACATCATATCGGTAAGATGTTTTTCTACTGTGTTTTCTACTCATGAAGGTTCAGTTGACCTTAGATTCGCCGCCGTGTTGGTTCTATTATGACGCTCGGTATCACTGCAATGCGGGCCGGGCGCGGGAGAAAGCAGGGGGGCCCGGGCGCGGCCCGCCGGCGAAGTTGGAAGGTCAAGTTCCGAAAGTTCTCAACGCTCCTCATTCGGATCTGCGTCTGGCACCGCGCCTGTGACGCCAAGACTTGTACTTTTTATTGATTCATTTCGATTAAGTTTATTGTCGGAGGCGACGGTCGGGGTGAGCACTTGGAAGGAGTTGGAGGCTGCTGCTGCTGCTGCTTTATATAACTTTGTTCAATTTTTTATTAGGGTTCCGTACTTTGATCCATCCTTCAGTGTTTGAAAAGTGTCTCGGTTGATGTCAAATATTGTTTTAATCGTAAATTTACACTTCTTCTTCTTCTTCGTCGTTCCCTCGCTAATGAGGATCGTGACCATATGTAACTTGTCGCTTCTGTCATGCGCCAGTTCAATGGATCGTTGTAGAGTTTCTCCTGTTGACTCGCCAATAATTTTAACATCTAGACCGATAATATGTGGAACTTATTTCCCCTTGAGAGAGGGTCATGAAATTTCCATAAAGAAAGTGGTCACTGTACGGGTGACGGAAATATAGAAAATAATATAGTAGGTATGTTTTGTATAAGAAGAATTATATTTGTACTGAACCATCGGAGCGCAAGTCTTGAAGGTACTGAATGATATTGTTTTAAACATGATTTTTTAATCATCATTTGGGTACGATAGATATACATACATCAGTTTTATTTTTCGGGTTCTATTATATGTCTCAATGAACTTTTAGTACAAAAAACGATGAAGAATTCATGAAAAGCGCCAGAGGTGTTTTTCTTGTTTAAGCGCCAGGCACCGCACTTATGTAAACATGTTTACGAAACATGTCAACCATGCATAGCTAACCAGAAGACGGAAAAAATAATAAAGACGACGGAAATACGTAGTTTTAATGTTTGACAATCAAATAGTGATCGATATTATAATTTAACTTTTGAAAATCATGAAATCGCAAATTGATTGATGGAAAGTACCGCCGTTCTGGCATCTTGTCTAATAACATTTTGAATCCTCGATGTCCCGCTGCCCTCTAAAAGTGGCTTCTTATGATTGATGGAGCTTTTAATTTGAAGAGACGCGAACGGCCGCTTACGTTAATGTTGCCTGTCGAATGGCATCTATTTAATCGCTTATGTCCCGCCATATTTAATCATTTGCCCCTCACGAGGACAAGCGTTATTAATTTTTCTGCATTATCAATCAGAGTAAAATTATTAGGCTGATTGTAGTTAAATTTGAACACGACATGAAACACCTTAGTCCTTCTTTTGAGTATGAACGCTGCTGAGTATTTGAAGAGTCGGGATTTCACTGTGGTTGGTGGGGAAAGCTCTTCGCGGTAAGTACCACGGTCTCGCAGAAGACAGTCTTGAAGTGGAAGTATTAAACTTTCGCGTTTCGTCTGGTGAGTTAGGTAACCGGGGCCCACATTTTTCAAGGTTGTCAACGCATCACCAAGTCATCGGGTGTCGTTGTCGATTTCCGTGGGCGGCGGTATTCATTTAACATCAGGTGAACCGCCTGCTCGCTTGGCAACTTTTCATATAGGTAAAGAAAAAAAGTGACAAATGTAATGAAGTACCTACTTTAACCCATTGTCTCGCAAATTTATGCGAATAATTTAACAAACCATTTTTGCTTGATAGCTGTGATAGGTCAGTGTCCGTGCGCTCGTTTTTAATTCAACATACTCGAGCCACGTGAGTTCGAATCCTAGTGCGGGCAACAATAAAAATTGTTAATTGCAATTTAAAATACCGACCCATCTCGTGCTTAAGGAAAAAATCTTGATGAAACCTGCATATTCTCTAAATAATTATCTTAAAATCTCGAAAAATGTGAAGTCCACCTATCTGCGGTGAGGCGTGGTCTATGCCGTAGTAGTTAGAGGAGTTTTTTTATGTAAATTTTATTGTTAAACCTTAAGCTGAGGGCTACAATGGGCGGACTAAAATGCCCTAATGGCATACTCTATGAGTCAACCCTAGTCATGGTGAAAAGCAATATATAGGCTGTTAATTTACTGTACTGTGTATACAGCGGGAATAGTCACCAAGGGAATTTGTTTTGAGCAAACGGAGTTGTTTTCAATTGTTAAACGCGGATTTAGACCTTAAAGACGCCTCTTGCTATTACCCGCATTATCTTCTGGTACGAACTGGACTTGGCTGAATGAATGCTAACGACCCTGCTGTCTGGTTCGTTCTTAACCCACCTCCGCATTAGCCGACCACGGGTGGCGCGGCCAGACCAAATTGTAGATGAGGGGGATCAAGTGACGCCAACGTGAATACGAAATGAATTCAAGTCTGTGAGTTCAGTTCACTTGGTATTACTATGTTGTTATCGGCTACTTAGTGTTATTATTTTCAAAGCATTTTTTTATTTAATTATTATTATATTGAAAATAAAAAAATGCCGATGGATGGTCGACAATGAATAATAATCTTATTCCTTTTTATATTTACGCGTAAATTAAACAAATTACTACTGGGTTTTGTGTATTTTCACATTTAACGGTCCGACTTGGGCTTGTCGTTATTTTAAACTGCAAACGTTGGGTTATAGTTTTATGAGATCAATTCTAAGTTTAATATTATAAGATAATTCTATAATTTTAATGTTAGTTTTTAATGGTAGTTAGTTAGACCCAAGAAAGATAGTCGATTTTTACAGTTTGCCAATCATGTACTTATATTATATTTATGAATTCGTCGTCTTGATGTGCAGTCTGAGGTTTTAGGGAAAAAAAACAGCCCTTTTATAGAGTGAGCCCTGGGTATCTCAGTCAACTGAAGAAATGCAAAATTATAGATACTTCTAATTCTTTTGGATCTCTTGTGATGTGAAGCCCCGTTTCTTGAGCTTAGAATCCTGTTAATTGGTCGACAGTAGAAGCTGATGTGTGGATCTAGCACTTCTGGAGATATGAACGTCATCATTTATTGCCTTAAAGTCCATTCGTGGCCTTATCTTTTGTAGCCGTTTAATTTATTTTTTATGTTATTAATAACGTTAGTCTCTAAAGACGCATTTATATGCATTTAGGTATTTTTTTGTGTTATCCCACGACGGAAAATGGAACGAATCCCAAATGAAATTAATAACGATTGAATTACTCACGCGGAAAAACGACTACATCGAAGTACATTAAATGCTCGTAAAACGGTACATTTTACGTTTATTACTTATTTCTCCGTCAGACATAAAACGGGACTAAACAGGTTTTAAATGATCTCGGGATATCATATTGCTCGTGTCGTCTGATTATTCTTGTACAACGGTCTTTAGATTTACAAAGTAAGTGATGCTCTGATAAATTATAGCAACATGATATTAATCAATATGTTCTCGTAATATATTTAAAACTTTTTTAAATTGTTTCATTTGCACATTATTAGTGTTCGGGAAATTTTAAATTTTAATTAAACCCCTGAACTGATTACGTAAACAATTTAACTACTTGTTGTTAACAGTCGCTTGTTGCATTGTATACTTTCCAACATCAACATCTTAAGGCAATTTAAATAGATTATAAAAATAAGTAATATTAAAGAGGTGCATTTTAATACTCGGCAATATCACGAATGAAAATGTAGGTAAGCGTTCATTTTGCAACGTTGAGTGCGCACAGTTTACTTGGAACATGCACTCGCCGTGCACTCGTGAACATCCCGTCTGGAAAACCTTGAGGCTCTGTTAAATAATTGGTTGAATACCGCTCCGAGTTCCCCGAGTTTTGAGACGTCTGACGTGCTCGCTTTGGCTTTCGGATTATGACGGATGGCATGTTCCAGTATTCCTATTTAATAATAACAAAGTCCGTTTTCTTAGTGCGGAATCTTTTCGAAGGGTTCACCATAGGGGGAACCAACAATACAGCGTGAGAGCGGTTTTTGAATGTATAATGGGGATATTTTGCTAAAACCCATATAATAAACCCATATAAGCATTTCTTGTTTTTTTTTGTGAAATGTTGGTGAAAGCTTATAGCATCGGGAATTTCAAACTGCCGATGATTCATATCTTAAATAAAACTCGACGTTGTCCGTAAATAAAATTACAATCGGTATTATCAATAGTAGTTTCTCTTTCACGTTTTTATTTAACGCCATCCTAAAGAATAACGCGAAGGATAACTTTATAGTGACGGCCGGCGGAGGGAGATAAAGATTGCGAAAACGACTTCGTCGCGTATCCCAATCATGCGTTCGTGGAAACCTGCTATTCGATCAAAACGCCTGCAGCACGAGAAAAGCCTTGCCGTTGCACCGATCGGTGGACGTTTATCCCACTCTTCTTGCCAAAGGCGGCGATAGGCAGCGTGGACCATGGCAATATTCGAATATTATCGAATATTGCCATAGTCCACTATTATCGCGGGCAGCATGGACGTCGGAAATATCTGAATATTGCCGGCTACGACGCCAGATTCCATCGCTGGAACGCCGCGGCGGCTAATCTCGTTACGGAGCGTAGCGGCGGGGCTTCCTTAATAACTTAAACGCTACGGTCTCTAATTCCGCCACCCCGACGGGTCGCCGGCCAACGGAATTGAATATTAAAGATAACGACTACGATGAAGGCATTTCTTTATCCCTTATCGTTGAGATATAACAACGTAGGTAATGTAATTGTACATTGCCGCAGCCTTTATTATTTCTTAGGTCGCTAATCGTTCAATGCATTAGCATTACATGAATAATTTATATTATGATTGGATCAACAAAGAATGCGCGTACTGTTTATTGATATACGGAATAGCGTGTAAAATGCAATAAGTGATTCCGCTTCCGCAATCATGATTCCGTTTGTTACTTGACGCGACAGACGTGATCATGATTGATGAAATTCTATGGAGGTTTGAAATTAAGGAATTGAATTGTTGTTTGAAATTATTTGACTTCAAAAACAATATGTGCTTTATATTTTATTTTTCATGTATCATTTATATAAAAAAAAAACCCACTGAAACACTACTTTTTCTCACTGCGCATTTAATAAAAGTAAAATAGATTTTTTAATTGTACGTATAATATCTTTGATGCGCTATTCCGAAGCACTAACATGTAAGACCGGAACCCGTTATTAAACCGCCACGTAATTCCGTCTTGTCGTGGTTTTTTCTCTCACAACATTCGATCTATAATAACCCAACACGCGCTCTCGCCCGAGGCGATTCAATTATCTCGACGTTAGATTACTCGTACGTGTCCCTTATACAGCGAGAGCTTTTTACCATAGCCCCGCACTTATACATTAGGCACAGAGGTCACCGTCGTCATTGCTTTTAATTGAATAAGTTCCGAAATCGACCGTGTCTAGTGCGTAATTTATGGCGGCACCGCTGTCGGTGTATAATACTCATGGTCGAATTACGCGTACTATTGTTGTATCGGCTTCCTGGTTTCTGTGTGCGTTCCGTAATTCAGGTCGGGTCGATATCCTTCCACGCCCTCGCTTGTTCGTAATGTCGCTTAATGTAAGAAAATATGCGCCGCACGTTTTCATTGTTCATATTTCAACGCTCGTCGCTTGAAAGTGTGAACCTCTATCGTGCTTGTTATTTCCCCTTTCGATTGCTCTAAACTATAATGGACTGAAATGTCGACCGATCACAATGTTGTATTAGATCTACGCGCGGAGAGAACCGGATTCGCGGGCGTGTTTTTAATGACACTAGTCGATGTAATCCCACCTGTTGCTGGTACTAGTTTTTGTGCTTGAGCTACAACTGTAACTTTTATGCGTATGCATTACCTCACGACCACGACGCAACCTGTCGTTTGGAGGCATGTTTAATGTTTATAGTATTTTAGATTTCTTTTTCGAAACTGGAAGAGGAAACGAGGAGTATTAAGGCTTATTTCGTCCTCGTTCGCTCTCGGGCTCGTTGGGCAATTGATTTAGAGGCGACGGGCGTTCCCTCGTCCGTGACTGGGAGATAAATCCTGCGCTATCCGGCCCCAGCCGAGTGTTGGCTCGGAAAATTGGTATTCGTCATCGTCTCTTCGCCTTCACACTCGCCTAACTTCATTTCAAAACTCAAAAGAATCTCCCTCCACTCGTAGGAAATTCAGTCACGGTACACGTCCATCTGGGCCGACACGAAAACGTCGTCAAAGCGGGACGGAAGGCAATTAGGCCAAGCCAATAAAAGTTCGTCATTAACGAACACGACGTGCGTTTCTACGCGGTATACGCGCGGACCTATCGTGTCGCATTGTGTTGTGCGATTTCGATTATGTCGCATTGTGTACCGTGGAGTTTTACCATACAAATGTATGTACCAGAAGTCATTTAGTGACTACTAGCGACCCGCCCCGGCTTCGCGCGGGTGCAATGTATTATACATATAAACCTTCCTCTTGAATCACTCTATCTAGTAAAAAAAACCGCATCAAGATTCGTTGCGTAGTTTTAAAGATCTAAGCATACATAGGGACAGACAGACAGCGGGACGACTTGGATTATACTATGTAGTGATAAAGTGTTGTAAAGGTAATATTGTTGTAAAGTTTATGGGTGGGTGGACAGAGACATATTAATTTAGTCGTGCAGATCGGAGAGTCAGTGGTACGTCGTAGCCGATGTCAGAGTTAAGTGCCGTCGCACTCGACGTATCCGTACAAAGGCCGCTCTCTCCGCTGTGTTCCGCCTCTTTGTTCGGGCTGACGAATACACGGTAAAAAATATCCAACTCGAGCGACGCCGACCTCCCCATATCTCGTCAGCGAGAACGAGGCTTTCATAAAGCGTCGCCATCTCCAACTAGCCACGTTGTCCGATTACTTCTCAATACACATGCAACTAAAATAATTATAAGTTTATTGGGTTAACTTACCACTGCGTCAGTTATTTTCTATCCGTATCTAGAATTGCCATTGGATATTTTATTCTGTGACATTTGTTCGCTCAAAAGGCTAAATGTATTTAGGCACGGAATCGGGCTAAAGGGTCGCTCTCATATGCGTTTATGAAGTGCCAACTTGCGGAAACGATCCATTGTCCCATCCCACATCGCCGGCTGCGTATGGGGTCCGATATTAGTGACATCATGCGCGTATCAAGTGTCGCTTCGTTGAGTGAGGTGGTTTTATTACCCCCACTGGTGGCACATGTTTTTCGAATCTTTCTAATACTCGATAAATTATCAAAGAGTGAGTAATTTGATAAGTATTTGGTGATAATAGTTTGGCTGATTAAGATCAAAGGAATCGTCCTTCGCCCGCCACGCGATGGATTCCAATGTAGAAAGTAATTTCCCGGACTCTCGAAAATCTTTCTGAAACATTGTTAGTAAAGTAAAGAGTAAATTAACAACCTATATAATTATGTCCCACTGCTGAGCAAACGCCTCTTCTGTGCCGAGGACATAAGGGTAGTCCATCATGCGACTCCATTGCAGATTGGCAGACTTTACATATTTTTGTTATTATTACGAAAATATGCACATTTCCTCATGATGTTTTCCTTCATGTGATAAGCCAGCACTTAAATTTGCAATTAAATGTTTTATTGGTGCCGCTGCGGTTTTAACACAGGCCTCTCAGGCATACTGAATTAAGCTGGCTTCCAGACACTGAGCTAAAACTATAACCTTGTCTAGGAACTTCATCGCCTTAATTTTTTTTAAGCTGTGTATATTTTAATTATTTCAAACCTTTCTTTTAAAAAGGTAATTGAACTTCTGTTGCCATGCGATGCGGATGCCATTTACACGCATTTCGTTAAATCGACTCGCCGACCTCCATTGTATTCTATAAACGGCATTCGGTATACGGTGCGATATAATTACGCCGACGGCATTTAAATGTCGAATTATTAAATAGAACAGGTGCGAGACGTTAGTATGGGGTCCGGTTGTAGCTTTCCGTTCTTCCGTTCGTTTTTAGGGTTCCGCACCCAAAGGGTTAAACGGGACCCTATTCCTAAGACTCGCTGTCTGTGTGTCTGTCAGTCTGTCACCAGGCTGTATCTCATGAACCGTAATAGTAAGACAGTTGAAATTTTCACAGATGATGTATTTCTGTTGCTGCTATAGAAACAAAAACAGAATAAAAAAATATTTAAGTGGGGGCTCCCATACAACAGACATGACTTCTTTAGCCGTTTTTATAGATAATGGTACGGAACCCTTCTCGAAGTCCGACTCGCACTTTGCCGGTTTTTTTATGTGCAAAGTTGTCACGCGAGCAGTCGTTTCACGTCATGTTAAGTGAATACTGCCGCCCATGGACATCTACATAGCCCGATGGCTTGCAGATGCGATGACAAAATTTAAATTAAGTGGGCTCCGGTTACCTCAGTCAGTGCACGAAACGTGAAAGTTACTTCCATTTCACAAGCGGTCTTCTGTGAGGCTGTGGTACTTCCCTGGGCGCGTCTATTCGTCTATTGTTCTATTCGTGCAACAGTAGAAGCTGTTGCGTGGTCCTACCACAGTACAAAACACAGTAGTTTCTCGGGAGCAGATGTTTGTTGATGCGCGAGAGGCTTCCGTTTGTAAACGCGGACTAGTTGACGACGTAAACAACTGCTGTCGACGTCTTACTGGCTAGCAATGGAGGAACCAGTTACGATAGTGTTTTATTACCTGACGTGTTTAATCGATCGTTTATGCTTCAGCGTCCTAATTGATTCGTTCGCCTATGCAGCGAAAAGAGAGGTGCGGGCAAATAATAACGTTGCTTTATTTAATCTTTAACTTTGGTATTTACAAAAACTGTTTGTGTAATGTAATGTTATTTACCTTATTTGATATTTATTGGTATTCGTCATAAACCAAGTAGCAAAATTCAAGTTGTTGAAGACAGACAGCTGTCATGCTAAGCGTCACTTTAATTATTATTTGGCAAAGTTTAACTGTGTACACGAGTATCTAATCAGTCGCGACAAACGTCTGCTCTCGTCTGTGCGCAATGAGATGACGGCGCTCGTCGCTATCCCGAGACAAGTGTAATTAATTAACTTTCCCTTGCGCAATCTTCTTTGCCGGTGAACTCTTATTCCCTCAATTGTTTTGTGCTCGAGAACAATAACAGCGACTCGATGCATGGCAGTGTGCGTTCGTAGTACGAAAGAGACCTTCGATCACAATCACGAACTGCCACAATTCATCATTAGGCATTTGACTGGAGCGCGCGCCGTGTGAACGGCCCAAGCGAGTTGACCCGGGCGACCGGCGGCGACGCGCCCGCTCTGATTTCACGAGTCCTGAAACGGACCTCGTCGGCGGCGGCGACGGGTCGACGACGGGTCGACGACCGCCAGTCGCGATCCGATTGCGGGCCCCGTTGCGAATTTGCATGCGTCGCCCGCGCAACGCTCAATTGCCAATAGACGGACGCGCCGGACCTTTTTCAGCCGTCTCCACTGCGCCTAATCAGACGGTCGACCTCCAAGCATCAGTCGCCGCGGCCATGTGGCAAAACTCCTTTCCGCATTCGATTGCTGTATTTAGTCCCTGTTGGGTTTTGTTTCTGGCGGTTTTAAGGACTATGTTAAGATATACCGAAGGAAATCAACAATTAATCTATTAATGACTAGGAATTCTTTTGTGCGTAACAAGCCCGCGAAGGTTCGTCAGCTGGAATATTAAAAGAAGCTCTGCGACGTACGCCGAGCTCTAGCATTATCTTTTTTTTATTTGAAAAAGTGGGAAACGAGCTGGCGGTTCACCTGATGTTAATTAATAAACGCCGTCCACGGACATTTGCAACACCCGTAGGGCTGCAAATGCGTTGCCACCTTTAAATAAAGTGGGCCCCGGCTACCTCACTCACCAGACGAAACGCAGAAATATAAGACTTCTACTTTACGTCGGTTTTCTGTGAGGTTGTGGTAATTATCCGGATGGACATGCCCATTCGTGCAACAGTGAAAACTTGTGCGGCCCTACCACAGTAAATCTTAGTTTGAATTTTTTGCCGCGTCTGGCCTTCAGCCGCGTCTGGCCCTGAATACTTGGACCTCAGTTTTGTTTTATATGTTAAAAAAAGATGCGACACGATGAAAGTTATCCGTAGCCCATTGTTAGCCCGATAACTTTTCGTCATCACCGTGAACACTATAAATCTTCATTCTTATGCAGTAAAAGGTTTCTTTTAAAAATCGGTTGTATTAAAGCCATTGCCATGAAATTGAAAAGAATAAAAAAAAATACCAACAACAAGTTTAAGGTTACCGGAAAAACTTTTTGTGGTTTCAATGAATCACGCCGTTCAACAGGGTCAACGGCGGCTACCACGAATTATTTAAATCTACGTCATTTTTTACTCGTCTATATCACTCGATCAATTATAAAAATCGTAAAGGTCGTTTTTGCAACATCTCTTCTAAGACCACCGTGTAATGCAATTAACGGATAGAGACCCAATATTCCGCTGCCGGAGAATATTCAAAACCGCCAGAGTAGTTACCGACTGAAATTAGCAGCTACGGATTGTCTGTGCATGCAATATGGCAGTATGGCGCTACATAGAATAGTAATACTCCATTAGAGAGAAGAAGCGTTTGCACCGGTCGGGGCGGGCGGTCTACAGACTATTAATTCTAGTCGACGTTCAACCCATTCTGAAGACAAACTCTAGTGATTACAAGAACCACGGAGTTAAATTTCCTTCACAAACACGAGTCTGAGTCTTTCTGAACAAGTTCATATACACTTCTAAACTAAGTGTACTCAAAATGACGTGTACTGATTTATTTTAATTCTTTTACTTGTGTGCCGCAAAGAAATGTCTTTTTAAATTAACTTTTCAAGGGCTGCTGCAGTGCAATTTTCAAATTAAATTTATTAAATTCTTATGATTATTTTAATATTATAGCTCTTTTATTGATATATTCATTGATATTTTGATATTAAATAAATCGTTTAAGCTAAATAAAACGTAAGGGAAATAAAAACGCAATAATTATCTAGACAAAATGGTCTAGGACTCAAAAGTTGTCTAGATGTGGCTTCACCTGAGACTGTTTTTTATTTTCTTTAATGTTGCAAAAGTCGGGGCTATTTATACATGCCTTATTTTAACAGAAGTAGGGCCATGCAACAGTCTTGTTGCACGAAAGGGCAGGCCCGTCCGGGTAAATGACGACCTCACAGAAGACCGACGTGAAGTATAGGTGTGATACTTCTGAGTTCTGCGTTTCTCTTGGCGAGTGAGGTAGCTGGGCACATTCCGTTAAAAGGTGGCAACGCATCTGCAACCCTACGGGTGTTGCAAATGTCAATGGGCGGCGGTTACCGTTTAACATCAGGTGAAGCCGCTCGCTTGCAACCATCTCACATAAAGAAAAAAAAAATATTCGATAAGGTTCCATCTGATGTTAAGCGGCTACCGCCGCCCATGGATATCTATAACACTTGGTGGGTTACAGATGCGTTTCAATTATATTTAAGACTTACCTTATTCACCAGACGAAAAGCGAAAGTATTCTACTCGTCTGGTTTATGTTAGCGTTTCGAGAGACTTCGTATCTATTCAAAATATTTGCTTATATTGAAATTATCATCCAAAAGTTTTAGTATTTCCTTTTATATTTTCAGTTTTTTTTAGGTTTTTTCCTAGGTAAAATGTAGTTTGTGTTTCTGTATTTATACGAACAGTGCCTTAGCAGTCGGGGCTTGCTCATCGATGGGTGTCAGCGTTAATTTACTGCTGCCGATAGTTTCCTCGCCGCCTGTACGAAAAGCTTTTGTCTTTATATAGACGGGGAAAGTACCGAGTGCTCTCTCCAAGAAATAAGTGAACTGAAAGCTTTTCTCTAACTTATTCGAACATTCATTAACGTTCTCGCCTTGAGCAAGGAATCTTACTTTGATAACTTTTCTTTTATTCCACATACAGTAATTCAAAATATTATGTCGGATGTCGAAATGTTCGTTATTTTTAATTTACTCCTGTCTAAAATATTGTTACTTCAAAAAATTAGATTTATGTAATTAAGTGACGAGTAATTAACGCTTCCTCGGATTTATTTGTTTATGATCCAAACTGAAAAATTGTCAGATTCATTAAAAAAAGGATAAAGGTTATATTGATAAATTTTCATAAGAACTTGATTAAACGTTAAACGTTAAAATTTTCATAAGAGCTTTCGGTAAAAATTACAATGGTAATATAGTTTTTTACATTCTCATTTATGATAATAATATAAATTCATCATATTCATAATATTCTTTTTTCCCTTCATACAATATTGTTATTTTCAATCGCCCACGTAAAGTATAGTGATCGTACTATAAGACCGAGCGGTGATGTCATTGAAGTTTTTCCAAATGACATAACATTTATTTTAAATCGACTTCTAATGCGTAATGCATAGTGTTTTACTCGAGTGTGGTTTAATGTAAAATGAGTATAAGGACTTCAGCCGCGCGTAAATATACCCAATGGATTTAGCTAGTCCTATATCTGTCTGACCGTCAACAAAATTGCTGGACGTAAAATTAAGCTACGAGCTTACTCGATTCGTTAAACAAAGCCTATTTCGGTCGCTTAATTAGCTCGATGGGGATTGTTCACATGATCGCCTTCTATGTGGGGTATATTATAATAGATATGTTTTGTTTTAGAATATTGCGATGACTCCTATATTATTATATCTTTCTCAAACGTGTTTTTTTGTTGGTACTCGGATAACTTCCGTATTTATTCATCAAATTTAATTATTCAAACTATTAAACTTTTTTATGTTTGCCGTTATTGACGAAAAAAAAAAGCGAAAGGAATAAAGTTAGTCTTAATATAAATATAGGCGGACTAGCAGCGGACCCGATAGACCTGTACATATGTCTCAAAACAACATATAAATAAAAAAATAATGTGAAACAAATATCTGTGCGTCGTAAAAATCGTTATACCGTGTGGAAATCGAACCCACGACCCCCCTTTTTTCTTGTTCTCTGTGAGTTGCTGTTTCGGGCGGCTCTTTCTCGTTGATAATCTATCCAATAAAATTATCGCATAACCCATTTAAATTTCAAAGGCTGTTCTATGAAATTAATTCCTCCTAAATGCTTCTATCGATAGCTTTTTGCAATTTAACATCAACTTAAACGATCGTTTACCGTCGTGTGCCACTACATGCGTGAACGTTGGAACGTTCAAGTGCAACGGTGAATTTATTTGAAGCATGAGGTACGCTTTCGCCTCGTGTTCTGACTCTGTAAGAAATCTCACATGCAAGAATAACTTTTGAGGCATGTGCACAGTTCGCCTAACTCGCTCAGTGACGTGACGGAGCACGCTCCACGGCCTCTCGTCACGAGAGCCGGCTCGTACTCTGACGTGGAACGTATTTAGAATGCTGCTTCAATTTTTACCGCTTTTTAATGGATTTTTCATTAATTTCTTTTTTTTTTTCAAAAGTTAACAGCGTTATGAATTTGACATCTGCCAGTTACCTAATAGCTCCGAAAGAAACGACTGGATTTTATTTTTGTAAGTATACTTAGTATTTTATGCCTAAAAATTTCGCTTATCAATATTAAAACATTGTCGGTAAGGTATATGTTTATGTAACATATACCAGTAGGCTTAACATCCAAAAGTTAACTATTGCAATACCTTAACAAAGTACGGGATGGCGCTATATGACATTTGAAGAACTAATTAGAAAAAAAATGTTAATTTATTAAAGCTGCCGAGTTGATGTATACTTGAAAAGCAAAACCAAATAATGTAAAAACAAAGTTTGATGCAGATCATTTGAGCCGTTTCGCAGATACTCAAAAAATACAAGAATTGCTTGTTTAAATATGGAAGATTAAGCATGACGCATGAGCACATACGTGGCCCTACCCACAGCGGAGGGCCCAAACCCGTGGGTTCTGGCTAGCCCACCGGTTCTGCGTCAGATGAAGCTTTAATAGTCGTGGGACTGAAAGCACAAACATCAGTTAATACAAGATACAAGGAGAGATTAAGTATGTGTTAGTAATAAGTCTGTCAAGCCCTTTGACTGGGAGGTTCGACTTTCGATCTACCACTAAGTTGCCCGATTGTGGAATTTCATACGGACAAAAAACACTGCTTGATTTTTTACCGAGGCTGCGGGGACAATACTCAACATCTGTCACTGTTATGGCACAATGAGTCGGCTGTGGTAGCGCTTACCTCTGTCAACCCTGTGTGCGTCTACCATTACGAGCGTTTTATATTGTTGTTGTTGTTGTAAATAAAAAAAATTTGTCGTATAAAAATCTCCTGCTTATTCTATAATCGAAATACTCAACTTTAATTATTATGTTCGCGCTGTTAACCGTGCTTGCGACATAACAAATTCATGAATACTGCCAATTCCTTGTATCTAGAAACTGTAAGTTTCCATGATTATGATGTGATTAAAAACATCAATTGGTCTTAACGATCCTTATTTGTTTATATATGGCAAGACTAATTGCAATCATAATTACTCTTAAATTGATCGTTATTGGGTTAACCTTTTTTGCAAACAGTGTATAATCTGCTTATGTTTATAAATGATAACGTACTTTATACTTGGTAATCAGTAGACGTTCATTCGAATCAAAACGTTCACTCTCAAATCAATTGAATGAAAGTGCATTTCAATTGGCATATTCATCGTCATATACGACCTCAAAAAACACGTGGAATATTTGAATTAAGTAGCATGCGATAATTTTTCTTTAAATTTAAATTATAAGTAATCATGATGTATGCTTAATTGTAATATTTATGAAACATCCCGAGGTAATACAATTGACTACTTTCATAGATTCTGTTACGATTTGAAGTATAAAAATTCAATGTTTGTGCTTCGGTTAGTATGTCAACAATCAAATTTTCGTTTAAAGGGCAAATGCACACAGATGTCCAGATCTGGGTGATATCACTCGCTATCAGATGAACCCTTTTTCTTGTGTCTAGTATGCTTTATATTGTTAAAAACTATGAGTAGTAGTTTATTAAGACTTTACTCGTCAGTCGTCCTACATTTTCACTATGGTCAATATCGATATCAATTAAACGTGTGCTTGTGGAGTTTCTCCGACCTTTATTCGCGAATAACCATTGAATGTCGACCAACAATGTGGCGTTCGCTTGTACGCTGTGCGGGCCGCATTGCGGGCCTGTCGGCAGCCGATGGGGCGCGCGGTTCCTGTTCGTTGCGCCCGCCACGTTTGACACGGTTGCGCATTGAGCGCCGTCGGTTGCGACATCGCTCGTGCTTGGACGTTGCCGTGCTGGTGCCACAAGTGGCTGCTGTAGCCCGCCCATCACGATTTAATAATAATATTAGTCTTCACTGTTGCACGAATGGGCAGGTACGTCCGGGAAAGTATCACGAACTCACAGAAGACCGGCGCGAAGTGGAAGTGTTACATTAAAAGGTGGCAACAGATCTGCAAACATACGGGTGTTACAAATGTACATAGGTGGCTTATCACGTTGGCAATATTAGGTGAATAGCCAACATGCTTGCAACATTCTCACAAAAAAAATATTTCGGGATATATTTTTTGCACAGCGTTCACAGGTCAGAAGCTTAGCAAAGCTTGTACTATGGGTATTTAGATAACTAATGAACACAGTTAAACATACTTTTTTCTTGTAAAAAGATAAAAAATATATACACACACATTAAAAACAATAAGTTCATTACATAATATTTTTCCAATAGTTGAGATCGAACCCACGACCGGTGGCACAAGAGACAGGTATCAATCACTATCCACTGTGCCAATTGGGCCGTCAAATTTGGAGCGATCGTGCTGACGTTTAGCCTATGAACACAATTAGCTGTTGTTGTTAAACGTAACGTGTTCTTACGGCAAGATGAGATAACTACAGCCTTAGATTTATTTAGCGCATAAATAATGAAAATATTGTGTTTATACATATTTATATTATAATAACAGAATCAAACACAACAGCTCAAATACCACGGCTTCCCTTGGGTATGGCGTACGCCGCAAAGCGTTGAAATGGTCTGGAATTTGTACCTAATCAAATTAATTTCAATCATAACCAAAAATTATTTGTTTGATTTTTAATGAAGTATAGTATTCGTGTAAATACAAAAAAACGACATAGATATGAATGATGATGATGTTAATTTTAATATATTACGATGACATGACGGTTGCGATGTTTCACGTACTCTCAATGCTATAGATACGATATCTAACGGTTGATATTTCATTTACTTCCGCATACCGTTTGTGTGTAACGGATTGCGATCGAAATTCTCTGCGGTTCGCCGCTTCGTCGCCCCTGCGGTTGTATATCGCAAAATAGCAATGCGGATGGAGCCCGAAACGCTACTTGTGTTTGTTAATTTACGTTGCTCGTTTGATCCAAATGTATTACGTCTGTAGTCTGTACATATACCATGCCTCTGTCATGTTTACGAAGATCGTTGGAAGTTTCAGATCCGCCATCGACGTCACGAAATGTTATGGGCGTTAAAACAAGCTTGCTTCGTAAAATGTCGCTTTTATTGGTTGTAGTATAATCGGTATGACAACTAGACAATAAATATGTTAATTGGGTCACAATTGTTACATTAATTGATGAAATTTTTTCCAATTCGATATAACTATGCCCGTTAGCGAGGTTGATAAATATCTTCGGTCCGTAATAAAAATAAGCATGTTTTTCTTTTGTATAAGGACTATCAATCAAACTGGAATTGAAGTCTTTACTAAACAGTGACCAAACAGTATTCACGCAGACACACCGTTAAACAAAAAAGATTTACACAAAAAGTATTTAAACTTTTGTTTCGTTTAAATAGCCAGCTATATCATGACAAGCGTTAGTAATGAAACAAAGAATTTGTCCTTGTCCGACAGTTCTCAACAAGTAATAGTTGCCATTAGAGGAAAACCGGTTTTCCTACCTATAGCCGAGTGACAGCATGATTGATGGACTTGGACAATGACCGCTAAAGTAAACAGATTAACAGTCTCACGAAACGTACCAGAGCCTTGTGTTTTCGCCAGATAAATACACAAAGCAGGATAATTTCACTTTATATCGACTTTGTAATTCTCCTACACCTTCAATTTCACAAAAGTGTATCGAGAGAATTTCCTAATAAACTTTGTTTTACATACAGTTAATTTTAATTTAAATTAATTCGGAACGACAAAATTGCGAACAAAATTATTCTTAATAATCGATTGTACTGAACTTTTTTAATTATTGATTAAACATAATGAATATGTTTACATATTATATTTTGTCCAGAGAGGTGCAACATATGACTCAATGGCCATTAGTCATTCTCCAAGAATTCTCTCCTTGTAGCTAGGAGTATAAGCTAAGCTAAGAACCGCTGTAACTACCACGAACAAAAGTGTTTGTTTGTGGTAGTAGAGGGCAAGAAATTTAATTCTGTAAACAATTACTGTTTTTTTTTCATTTTAAGTTTTAAAAACCATCACATAAATATTAAATCCTTTGAAACAGTCTACTTCGCATTAAAAAAAATAGTTGACATTATCAATTTTTTAATAATAATTTTTAAATGAAAGTTTTTATTATGAAAATATTAATTTTATTCTTCTGACCTTCTTAAAATGGTGTTAAAATCATTAAATTTGATGAAGAATAATGAAAGTTATGGCGTGCCGACAAAAACACTTATTATTTCTTCACTATTTTTCACTATTTTTTTGTGTGAAATGTTGTCAAGGGAGCAAGCGATTTTAAGTGAATGCCGCCACTCATAGACATTTACAACTTTCGCTGGCTTGCAGATACGTTGACAACCTTTAAAAAAGTGCGTTCTGTTTACCGAAATTACCAGACGAAACGCAAAAATTTAATACTTCCACTTCACGCCTTCTGTGAGGCCGTGGTAATTTACCAGACGCGCCTGCCCATTTGTGCAACAGCAGAACAGCAGATATTGTATGTTCCATACGACTACTGTTTACCGCCGGTATGTCACTGGTATTGTGTGAATTAGAAAAATGGATAAGATTCACACATAAAATATCTCTGTACCGAACCAAAGGGATTGTTGACTTCAGTCAGTAATAAAGCGAATGTTTTAATATTCAAAATGCTGAACAAATATGTACGTTGCATTGCCGAAAGTGACTGTCGGTTGTGAAGTTATTCGTCCGGTCCGCTGACGTTCGCGTCACGTGATCGACCGACCGAGTGCGGGCAGCCAGCAGATAGCGCGGCCGGCGTGTGGGCCGCGAACAATGCCACCTTTCTATTCCGCGATAAGCCTTGCCGCCATTGGAGCTATTTGCCACGCTGAACGATTCCGGTGACGCATCAGGCGGGCCCGCATGCCGTCCACGCTACAATGACGCTGCTTAATGCTAATATTACCCGTTTTTATCGTTATCACGTCCCGATAGCGCCGTGCAGTGCTCTATTGATTTGTTCTTCACGCCCGTACTCGAGCTCCGAAACGAATTTGACACCTACATTCTCGTAGGGCTGTTGAGACAGCATATGCCACTCAATTGAACGTATTCAAAGTCTATTACGAAAGAGCTGTACGTTATAACGATTGCAACGTCAATTCAAGAAATATTAACGATTGTGTGAATTCATTTGAAAGGGGTTACCCAATCTATCGCCGTAACGTTTGTCACTGATAACCATGTCATGGATACGGTACAAAGTATAAAACAGTTGACATTAATTTTACAACAAATATTTCATTTTTAACTCGTTACGGATGAACATTAAAACATGTAGAAAAAGTGTAAAGTAAAAGTGTAAAAGTGTAAGTACGAAAAGATTGTCGCCGCTGTGGGAATCGAACCCACGTCTTCGGCATTCGCGGCCTGGCGCTCTAGCCACTCAGCTAAACGGCCTGATAGCCACAGCGACGAAAATCTTAACGCCTTCCTTCTACATTGTTATTTAGCATTTGAAGCAATGCTTGGTGCATCTATTGTTATATCCTTTCCAGCATACAAACAATTTCGAATATCGTTTTACAACGATAATTCGAAATTGTTGTGTTACATGTTGTGTATAATTGTTGCTACATGTTTTAATGTTCAATCAAGTGCAGCGTTAAGTTTTTTATAGTGCTAATACTATAAAAAACTTTAAAAAGAAACGTTACGGATGCATTAGATCTAACGTCTTATTCCACACACGTCTTGAACACAGCTAACAAAACAACTTTTCGGGGTAAGAGTCACAGAAGACTGGTCAGAAGTAAAAGTATAATACTTTTACTCTTTGTTATGTGGGTGCCACAAACCAGTGCCACAGTGATGCCTTTGATTTTGTCAATGCTCATGGGCGGTGGTCCTCAATACATGCTCAGTTGTCATCCCTTTGAATTATGAAAAAAAAAATCGTTTCATGGGGATAAATAAATAGTGGAAAATTTTTAGACATGGAGTTTTTACGCAATATTCATTTTTATAATCGTCTTCGTCTTAATGATTATACGCAATAACGCTGTTTAACGAGGTTGTTGTATTACGAGTATATTAAACCTTCATAACTACCTTTAAAAATGGAAAAGGTGTTTATGTTTTGTTTTAAATTAAACCTCAGGCATTTGGGACTTTTTAAATTTAATATGGTTTCTTACTACAATTCAGTAGCGTACCGAATGTCTGATATTTATTCTGATATGTACTGTATTCATGAGTACTTGCAATAATCATGTTTTCGAACTTGACGAAATCAAGAAATTGTTGCTATAATTAATTTAATTATGGCAATAAACATTGAACTGGTTTAGTTGTTTCAAAAGTCGAACCAAAATTTCGTAACCGACTTAACGGCGTCAGTTAATTACTGAATAATGTCCGATTTTATTTTGAGGTCGACCTTAATGCTTTCACGGAATAATGCCATCAATAACTCGAATCTATTTTCACGACCTTAACCTATTTTCGTAACAAAATTCCTAATAATTGATTTGAAAATTGTTGTAAAGATTAATTGCGTGTTCCTACATGGCAATGGCTTTCCAATACTTTAACGCTTCTCAAATTGAATGGGCGACTAAAATAAACCAGATATTATGTATGATTATCATCGCACATCATGTATTTCATATGATGTCAAGCGACTTGCTAAAATTGTCATACGTTTTGTTGGTTTGATTTATTATTGAAAAAAATTTATACTTACTTAGGAAGAATATTTAAGTTCTGTACGTTCTAGTGCACCTATTTAATCCTGTCTACTTTGAAAGCGAACTCTGTGCCGTGAGCCGTTTGAAAGTCACTCTGTTAGCGCTACACCAATCATCACCGATGCCTGTAACGGTCACTCGTCAACCTGTAATGACGCACCACCGATATAATGAATGGACGCCATCCGACCGCCTCAACGGGCCTTCGGACCTAATGACCAAACGCGAAGCACGTCGCGTTCGAATCCGTGCCAAGTTTGGTTCCAACAATGAGTGCAATTTTCCGCTTTAGCCGTCCGCGTGCAGTTTTTGCTCGGCGGCGCGTGCCCGGTGGAGGGCGATCCGCGCAGATCCTAACCCATTATGCGGTGACAATAGTCCCGACGCTAATTCAAGGACGGGCCCGACCTTTGTGTGCGCAAGTTTGTACCGCGTTGCCGTGTCCTGCAATCGTTCTGAAATTGTTACCGAGTATTCTGTCGGCAATCTTGGTAACCCTGTTCCAACGATTTCCGGTCACGGAATCGTTGAATCGGTTCTGTTGATTTCGATATTAGATCTGAATGAATTTATATGAAATTAATATTTCAAAATAACTTATTGTTGCGTCTTCCAAATATGTTCGTCATAACTTCTCGTTTTTATTAGCTCGCATACTCGAGCGTTTCCCTTTGTTTGAACATACATTATAATAGTGTTGTCATATATTTCTCTACGTAAATTTTGTGGCATGTTTTCCAGGTTGTCAAAACAATGAATTCTTTGTTAAGAAGTTTGAACAATTTTTTTCCTGTACATATTATTTTACATCGCATTTTAAGAAGCTATTAGGGACTACAAGTAGTTTCGAAGGAAATGTTCGCGTAGCACAGTTAAATTTGATATAGCCAATGTTTCATATTTGTTTTTTCTTCCGTCTATCTGAAATTTGAAGTTTATTGACACGAAAATATTCTGATGAATATCTTAATGGACACTTTTCTTTTTTACACTTATACATTTGTATAGTTTTTAGTTTTGAACGTTCATACCGTGGTCATTTTGTGAGTGTATTGTGTAATATACAAAGATAAAAATGAAACATTTTAATATATGTTTTATAAACTTTTTAATAAAATGAAGCAAGGTTTGTTTCCTAAACGAATTCTTTTTTTAAAATCATCTTTCGCACTAGGAAATAATAACTGCGTCTCAGGGAGATTACACACACATATGAGATATGTATGTGATATCACGTATGTATGTGGAATCTCCTGGGATTTTCCACGTTTTTAAGAAAATAAAAAAAAGTTAACAATAATAAAGTTAAATAATTAAACTGTTTAACTTTAAATGTAATTCTTTTTGGTTTAAAATATTTTGTAGCATTTGTCACCGAAGATCTGTAAATTAATTATTGAAGTGTTAAAGTGTAAAGAAAATTCCAGTTGGCCTTTTTATATAATCATGTTCAAGAAAATGTTTAATGCACTAAACCTAGTTACAGCATTTTCTAAAAAGACTAGAAACTTAAGCGTTTACTAATCTGTTACCACTGTGTCTGTGACAGATATATTATATGTAACGACACAAAGTGTGTTTGTGATTTAATATTCTAATAAAATTTGTAAACTGTACCAATTTCTCTTGAATTATCCAGTTACGTGACCGTTAACATTTTTTTTTACTTTTGTTACAGGTGAGTGATTAAAACGTAACCGTGTGCGCCAACGAGAGTTTCACCTGTGTGAGATTAATAACGGCAGTCTCAACGTGATATCAAGCACTCCAAGGTTTGTTGCGCAACGCATTCTTCTCGACGCGGCCACTTGAACAAATTTCGTTTGTTTGCCGTGTTACGTGTTTGATATCGTGCGTGTTTACGCCGTTGGATTTGTTTCGTGTCGCCTAATTGTTTGCTCAAACGGGGGGACGCCTCCATTCGTTCTCTCATTGAGGTATTTGATACTCTGTGGTGGTGTCTCAAATACCTCGTATATGTTTGACGGATAATTCACGTTTTCAATTATTTTTTGAGGTAACTTCAATATTCGATTAATTTAGTAATTTGATTGTTAATTTTAATGAAGCTTGCATTGAAGTCAATTGAAATTATGAGCTTATCTGGCGGTCAATTGACTTATTAAGTCTGTGGTCGAATTTTTAATTGATATTTTTTTAAGAAACTAATGACCGCCGACTAAAACCATTGAATGGATCTATTAGTCTACGGTTGGATATTTACGAAACGTGCGAACGTTTTATTTGAACAATTTAGGTTTTACTGTTCAGAAATGTAGCTTTATTGATTGCGTATTATAATTCTTGTATTAACTGATGTTTGTCCTTTCAGTCCCCATACTATTAAAACTTCATTTGACGCAGAACCGGTGGGCTAGCCACAACCCACGGGTTTGGGCCCTCCGCCGTGGGTAGGGCCGCTTATCATAATTATGACAAAGACTGTCACTGTGTAAACACTGAAATTGGTTTTATGAACATCGACTCGATAAAATATCTTTATGAAGATATCAATCTTTTAGAGTGCAACAACTTAAATTATTCGTTTTCCTATACAAGCATATTCAATATCTGTTATATGATATATATACGGCATGAATACGTACGCACCTTTTATAAAAGTACGTACCTTTTATAATATCTATAGTAGACTTGTTTACTTCTTGTACAAAGTAGACTGTAACGTGAATGCCGCGACGCTGTGGGCGCTCATCTGTTAATACACGGTTGGTTTTGTCGTGTTTCTGCGGCTCGTTGCATCGAAGGCGCCAGCTCAACGGTCGCTCCCAAAGACCCCTTTGCGCTGGACCGGCCCCGGTGCCACCTTGCTCGAGCTGCTTCGCTTCGCTGCGCTTTCTTTGCTGTCAAATTCGTTAGGCAACATATGCAGCGCTCGAAAATGAAGCGATATGCATTCTCATGTAGCTTAAAGCGCTTTCTCGGGGTGCGGGGAGGTCTCGTTTTGAAAGTTTCACCCTTTTACGTTTTATATCATTGCGAGTTTGAGTTGAAGGAAACCTAACTGTGTGAGGGTTTCTTTGTGCGCTAATATGTATAAAAGAAATGTACTATTGCCTTGTACACTGTGCATTAAACTTTTATATCAATATCTGCGTTTAAAAAAACCTGTAAAATTTACGTTTGAGATAGTGTCGAAATCGCATAAACCGTATCTGTTGAGCGAGCTGTAAATTGGATGATAAACTCGCGGCAGAATATGCGATACGGTTGTTTACAATATTGCGCAGTAAATCTGCTGCCGTTGACAGAATAAAAGAAAATTTATATCGGTATTGCACCCGCAAAGCGGGCAACGGTCGTAGACGTATTCAATATAAGCGACTCATTGCTAATACAAAACATAATGAAACTTTTATCAGTTTGTTATGATTTGCTTTTAATCTTTCTTTTACAAATGTTATTCATTACTTAAGTGCATTAAGATGATTCTTCGATTCTGATGTTTTGCGCGTTGTATTAAGTTTGGAAGTGTTTAATGTCGTATAGTACCTAAAATCTATTACTTTATTTTGGTTTGTTGGGGTGGACGTGTTGTTAAGATTGCGTCGGGATATAATACTAAGAGTAGAATGCATCCTGACCAAATGGAACGACGATTTGCGCAATCGTGCTTGCTGGTGGCAACTGAATGGTCGATAGCTGTAAATCCACCTTAGTGGTGTGCACGGAAATGTTTTCTAATTCTTTTCACGTATTTGCCTTTGGTATAATATAATATTTATTCCAATGACATGACGAAAGCCCTTTTCGTTTATTTCTTAGGTAACATTATCACGTTTCACCCCGATAATCGCAACAAAAGCTTAAAAAGCTACTGATTAGGTACCTATTGTTCGAACAGAAATAATATGACAAAATAAAATTCGAACTAAGGTAAAAACCATACAAAGCAATATAATTGTACGGGGGGAGCGTATTCTGTATAATGTCTTTACCTACTTCACGGCGACGACATTAATTTCTCCGAAAGAAAATCCTTTCAGAATTTTATCTCAATCTCGAAAAAAATATATATAATGGCAGGTGATCTTAACAATGTTCCCGGTTTTCCTCTCCTCTTTATTGGGCTCGTGCTGATTTTGATATCTTCCATTATATCTTCCCGCAAAAACGCCCCCGGCGATATTGCTTTACGCCTGGTGACCGTCTCGAAAAAATCCTTTAAGGATATACTTGGTCCGCTATTCTTGTGGTGTCTTTTAATGTTTAATTTTTCATCTTTCCCCTAAGCGTTCTCATTTATAGAATAAAATCAAATGGTTGTATTATGCGAAAACAACAGTAGAAATGTTTTGAAACTTTATTTCTATGCATGATGTTAATGATGAAAAAATCTAATGATTTTTTTTTTCATTTCTGGGTATATCGTATATGATGTTCTTGTTTAATGTGTATCGCAAACGATAGAGTCGCAAATTCATATTTCCGCGCAATAATTTTACTACTGTCATATTTTGTATCGCAAACTTACCGCTATCAAGTTGATATAAATAGATTTATGTATGCTACAATCAGTCTACACCTCGTTGTAAACAAACGAAATTAATAGCGCTTGTGGATATGTTGTCCTACAGTTTACAATGTTACAATTAGTTAACCTAAAATAATACTGTTACAAGGAGAGGCCCGTAATTGGTCGCAGTAAATGCAATGCGCGATACGTCGCGTCCGGACTGTTATATCGTGGTCGCACGCAATATTCGCGCCAATTTCCAACGGGAAACATCAACTACCAATAATAAAACAGCAATACCCGCCAGTGTGGCAAGACAGTGTGTCGATGAAAGATGAAACATAAACACGAGAATAACACTTTGTTTTCACACCTCTCTTTCTCCAATTTGATTTCTTCCTACGTGATTTGGTTCTCACGTTTTTCGATATCATTTCGTTGAGGCTAGGTAATCTTAGAAGGCATTATTTGACGCTCCGGGAACGACCGCCGTAAGGCCTGCCAATGCTTTGAATGGTTTGTTGTGAGAAGGGAACAATAGATCGCGTAGGTAATTGATTTCCCGTGAGGCGTCACGGCGTGGGAGTTTTATGCGTGATATTTTCGTACCCACACGTAAAATGCATCATTCCGTCGACTCCAAACATCGTTAAATTCTACGAAGTGTAACAGATGCAACAAAAGTTTATGTGCAGAGTATTTATAAAATGCAATTCAATCTGTTTTTCTGCTCTGTTAATCATTTTCTCGTCAAGCGTAGGCTGATGGAAATAATTTTTTTTTCCCAGGGAAACATGAATAATGTTGGAGTAAATCTTGTCAATACCAGTATCGTATTTCCTGGAGGTTGTGTTGAGATTAATGATGGCAATCCGGAACGGCCTCACTACAGTTGGCTTAAAGATGGATTTTTTACCCTTCGTCACGAAAATAAATGTGGTGCAGAATAGGTATGTGACGCAGAATGAGTCTATTCACGCTTTTTTATATACATATGTTTTAATGATATATTAAAGTAACGTCTAGTATATTAAAATATATATTAAAGTAATGGCTAGTTAAAACCGAATTAACGTCGGGGATATTTCGTGTCTCCTTTAATAAACCACATTTATTTTGGAAAATCCACGCGCGCAAAGCTGCGGATAAACTTAATTTAGTATATATCTTATAAGGGACCACTTAAAACCAACCAAACCAACTTACTTTTAGCTCTAAATGATTTGTGCCTTAATTGCAAGGTACACACTTGATATTTGATTTGTTTACTCAATTGTTTGTATATAACTATATAAGAGAAAAACAACTAAATAGTTGGGTTCTTTAATTGTATATTACGTGGCTCTATTTCAAACCTTTTATTCCGTCTACTTATTATACTTAATCTGATTAACATTTTGTTCGCCGGGTAAAGGAGGCTTTACGGTAAGCCCTTTGTATTAATGGCTCGACTTTATTTACTTTGAACAGTGTTCTTAGCCTATTTTTTAAATTTAGTTTAGTTTAGTTCATTTCCCTATTTGCGGTGCGCCCGAACACTGGGACAGATAATCTATAAAAGACTTATTGCTTTAATTAATCACAGGCCCAACTGAACGATTGCGACGCGATTCTCTTTCTTTTCATCCATCGTCTTTGTTTCTATCTTTATGCGCCATACTTTGTATTGTGACTGTGGTAGGGCCACGCAACCGTTTTCACTGTGGCATAAATGGGCAGGTCCGTCCGGGTAATTACCACGACCTTACAGAAGATCGACGTAAAGTAGAAGTGTTACACTTCCGTTTGTTGTTCGTCTGGCGAGTGAGGTAGCCGGGGCCCACTTTATATAAAAATGGTCAACATCAGGTCAACCGCCAGCTCTTGTGCTATTTTTCAAATAAAATAACTGTCTTTTTCAATTGGAATTTATCTTTATTGTATCAAAGGGTAAAAAAAAAAACAGTTGATGAACTGATGTAGCGGTATCCGTTCGTAGTGTTCGCACTTTATTGTTAACGATGTGATCAGTTGGAAAAGTATGACCGTCAAAACGATGTTTCCCATCGCGTTAGTAGCTAACATTCATTAAAATTACGGGCTCTTTGCCTCGTCGCCATTATGTAGTAAAGTGACGCCTGCTGCAGATTCCGCATAATACAACTGTTGACGCGTGGGAGTTTCCCTTTTGTATCACATGTACAAGAATCGCACTCGGTTCAAGTGATCAAATGATGACGTGCACGAGAGACAGAAAATGTGGGGCATACGTAACGCATTGAAGAACTAATAATGCCCTTTCGACTCACTTTTTCTCTTAAAATCGTTTATTTAAACACAAGAACATTGTGGCGGAATTGACAGTCATCAAATGTAACTATTATTTTTGGATTGAGTTGAGATTAGTTGTTTTTGTCGATATTGTATCTAGTTTGTGACGTTGCGGCCTATTTTAAATTACTTTATATTCTACTTTTGATGGCTTGGTTCTTCGGCATTGATTTCGGCAAAGGACGAGTATTTGTGTGACCAACAAATAATTGTTCGGGATTTGGATATAGCTCCATGTGAAATTTGTATGTACGTTTTTATGTTACGTTAATAACCTAAACTAACAGTTTTATATTAAAAAATAATCCAAATCACATCTTCACTATTGTGGTTAGGAAAAGCCAAAGACAGTTTGTCTATTGTTGGTTTTTATTAGTAGCTATCCCCCTTTGTTCACAAAACACAAAATGTTACAAACGCCGTTTACCCTTTCATCTTAAAAAAATGGATCAATGATTTTAATGTTAATGTTTGACTCCGACAGTAGTCGGTCGGGTATAACGATGTCTTGATACCGCAAGTTGTAAAATAATACGTGTGTTGTTTTAAGAAAAGAATAAAAAAAATACCTCCAAACAACCTACACATCAACATGCAACAGCGTTCTGAATAACGTATATCGGTTATTTGTATAATAATAACAACAGATTCTAAATATTTACATTAATAAAATTTGGGCACGTCCGCAGGGAACAGGCCACAGCTGCGGTTGCTCGAAATAGTAAAAGTCCACGAACCGGCGGCCGTTGGGTCAAGGACCATTTTGCTTTGTTGTCTTGCCACGGCACGCTCTCGCATTTGCATCGCCAATCATTACCGCCTCATGAATTGCTAATGCCGCGGACTTCTTAAATGCAAATCGCCAGATTAATTGTTACGAAAGTCTACGACTTGTGAAATTCCTTGTCCCCCGTCTCATTACCGCACACAATTGTGCTTTTATACAAATGGGCGTCGTCTATCAGTCTTTTGGGCGCGAATTGGAACAGTAGTTGAATTGGACCAATGCATGTTTAATTTTGTAACGACCGCTTTTTCTGTTATTGTATCTTTAGCATTCGGCGGTACTGGTAATGTGAATGAATAATTCATGTCTTTACGTACCTACTTTTACGGTGTTTTTTTCTTATTATTTGGATAACGTTTCTATTTTTTGTGTAATTAAATATAAAAAGTTAATCGTACCGCAATAATCACTTAAACATTTTTCGTTAAATGTGACATAGCTACTTTTCAATTATTGCGTTTATTTTATTTATTGCACCATACTTATTTGATTTTAATCAATGAACATTTTTAACGGAATGATTCAATTCACTGATTTAACGATTTTAAGTAGTTTTTAGTTGTCCCAGTTATTTTTCCTAACTTTCTTTTATTTTATAATTTTAACGCCAATCTCTCGTAAGCTGCAAGGCGCAGTTTTGAATACTGTCTGCGGTGAAAAAATTTACAGTTTCATCGAATCATTCCAAGTTACCTTTTTCAATGTACGCTGCGCTATAGCTTTTGCTAACACCTTTCTGAACCCTCCAATGAAGTTACTCTAACATTTTATCTGTCTGAGATAATCTCCCAAACGTGCCTGCTTTCCCGCCCTGGTAAGGTTACATTTGTCCTCGTCATTTAGGAACCATCGGTTGCTAACAGCTGTATGTACACTTTGATCGTAATTTTGCTCATAAAACACTGCAAGGGTAAATTTGCCTCGACGTTGAAATTTAAGAAACGCCAAATTAAAGAACGCAAGTGAATTCTCGAAAAATCTAATTTGGTCTCCCTCAACTTAATTGTCACTTCACGGCACTTCGC